GTTTTTGGCGACGAAGCGTGAAATTGAAATAAGGATCACATTTTTCAATATTTTTCGATGATGACAAGTGGAAACGTTGGGAGAAAACTAGAAATACAAAAATTAAGTCAAAAAAAAAGGGTTTTCTGATTCAAATTTCATGGAAACTTTAACTGATTGAGGTTTGATTCATTGTGGTTTTATCCTAACAACTTTAACCTTCCAATCTTTGGCTACGGATCGAAAAATTGGTTTTTCCTTTTCCTTCCTTTTTCTTCCTTGTTTTTACTATTTCTTCTTGAAAAAGGCGCTCAATGGTAGAGCTCAATGGTAGAGCTAAATGGTAGAGCTAAATGGTAGAGCTAAATGGTAGAGCTCAATGGTAGAGCTAAATGGTAAAGCATCAGCCTGGTAAGCATCGAGCAAGCAGAAGATCAATAGTTCAATTCCCCTTGGTTTCAAATCCCTTTTTTCAGTTCTTTACTTTACTAAAGCCTCCAAAATTGATTAGGTCAACTAGTTGATGTGTGAAATGTTTAAAAATGTCAAATTTGTTATCTCATAATCAACTTCTATGTCTTGGCTTTAGATTAAGCTTAGCCCGAACTCCAGCCTTGAACTTCAGTCATCTTCAGCATTTTACTGTTACTGTTTACTGTTAAATTACTGTTAAATTAAATGTTAGTTAAATTTACTGTCAAAATTTTCATGTTAAATTCTTTAAATTTACAGCAGAACATGTCTAGCATCGATTAAGCTTAAGACTTAGCAACTTAGCAAAACTAGATTGATTTTTCGATTACTCATTAGATCAAGGTCGTTGTTATCTAGCTTGTTGATCTCTCTTTGTTGATCTGATGTTGATGTTGATCTTGTTAAGCCTTGTTATCTAGTTAATTTGTTAGAATTGTATTCTGCTTGCTTGTTCCGATGTTTTTCAATAAAATTCTAGCGATCAAAAAAAAGAGGCAGAATACAGAAATCATCAGAGAAAGTGGGGGAAAGAGATGGCTCGATATTTGTTTTATATCGGCCTTTCTCCGCTGTTTGTGTCCATGTTTGTGATAGCCGTCACTTCTCTTTCTTCTTTCTCTTTCTCTTCCCAGCGTCTTCCTACCAGCTTGATCAATTATGAGCAGATGAGATTTTGCTACTGTGTATTGGGTTGGGGACAGACCGGGCCAAACTTAAAGGGACTTTGACACAAAAGCCTCTTAAACAACGTTGGTCACAAAAGGACCACTATTTCTCTACAAAATGACTTTGAGAGACCACAAAGCTTTCTTTCGTGGAGTTATGAACCCAAACAGCTGGTAAAATGGCAAAGAGTCGACTCATCATTTGAACAGTTTCTTTCACATAAACCTCTTGGGTTAATAAAAAGAAGAGCACATTGAATACAAGGCCAAATGCAGGAAGACCCACCAATTGTTTTTCTAGATGACAGTTGTAGTTTTGTGAAAAATGGCTTTTCTTGGCGGAGGCGCTGTTTGAATTTCTTAAAGTCGTTTTGTAGAGAATTAGTTAACCATCTACTGAATCAAAGCAATTTTTGACGAGTCGAAAGAGTTTAGACATTTTTTGATTTTCGGGCGAGTCATAGTCCCCAACCCAATAGCTTGTTGTACTCATTTTATTATCAAAAGATACTTGTAAATTTGATGTAAGTTTCTGCCTCTATTTCCCTATTCCCTCTATTTACAGTTTTCAATAAAGATACTCAGTTGATTGAAACGAAAATTGAATATCTTTCAAGCCAAGAGAAGCTAATAAGATAAGAGATTCAGCTAAAGATATTCAGCTAAAGAATTCAGCTAAAGATATTCAGCTTTGCAGATTGAATTCCTTCATTTACTGTAGCTAAACAAGTGCCTTGATTTACAATATTACTTTACAATATTACTTGTAACTTTTGTGTAAGTTCCTGCCTCTATCAGCCTCCCTATTCTATTTCCGCCTCCCTATTCCCTCTATTTTTCTTTCTACCTCTATTTTTGCAAATTTCTATCTTAAATCTTGCTTATCTACCTGATTAGTCAATTATTTCATAACTATCAAAACTCTGAAGAGATTTCCGTGACAATCCCCCACTTTTTCTATACAATTTGTGGACGGGATGATTCAGCTTTAAACGATTCATAATATAATCAAAAAAAAAGGATCAAAGCCTCTTCCTTTCTGCGTATTCTCATCGATTTTTGTGCGAGAGCCAAAAAACTTTCTTTTTCCTTTTACAGAAACTTTATTCGACCATAAAGCTTTCTATTTTTCCTTTCTTTAAATGTGTTTACAACTGAAATTTTGGCGCTTCTCCATTCCGAATTTCATTGCTATAAACAAGTAGGAATTGTGTCGAACACTTGATGAGTGATTGTTGTTTTTAGGCTCACTAGTTCAATTCCTTCAATTCCTTCAATTCCTGCAATTGATCAAGGCTCAAGGATAGCTGATTTTTGTTTTTGATTGTTTTTCAGTATCCCAATGAATTTGATAACAATTTTAAGCTGAATAATCGTTTCGTTTTCTTTTTCAGTTCGTAAAATGCAAATGAAGCCTTTGAACTTTATTGGAAAGTAATGGATCTTTTTGTTTCAAAGTTAACAAACTTTAAGCTAAAGCTAGGCTATCCTTGAGCCTGACCAATTGCAGAAATTGAACTAGTGAGCCATTTTCTTGGTCATCAGGACTTTACCATTGAGCTACAGAGAGAATTAGCATTGATAATCGATTCGGCAAACCAGGATACCCTAGATCAAGCAGGCTGCTGAACGAAAAGCTTTTACAATTTTACAATTACAAAAGCTTTTACAAATATAACAGAAACCAAATCCATAACCGTTTTTTCTCAATCAAGAACTTTAACACTGAGCTAAGAAGACGAATTTTTGTCCAACACGAAATATAAACTAAAAACTATAATAATTAGCAGCTATGCAGGCAATTTTTAGCTTTCATTTCAATTCTTGTGAGTCTAATATTGCTAATTAAAGTTTGAAAAGACTTTAGAAGACTTTAGAAGACTTTAGAAGACTTTAGAAGACTTTAGAAGACTTTAGAAGACTTTAGAAGACTTTAGAAGACTTTAGAAGACTTTAGAAGACTTTAGAAGACTTTAGAAGACTTTAGAAGACTTTAGAAGACTTTAGAAGACTTTAGAAGACTTTAGAAGACTTTAGAAGACTTTAGAAGACTTTAGAAGACTTTAGAAGACTTTAGAAGACTTTAGAAGACTTTAGAAGACTTTAGAAGACTTTAGAAGACTTTAGAAGACTTTAGAAGACTTTAGAAGACAATTTTTATGTCTTAATCAAAAAGTAAAACATCTTTGTCCACAAGGGGATTCGAACCAGGGAGTGAAAGATCAGACGACAGACCGGAGGTTAGCGCTTTATCCATTAGGCTATCCAGCCACCGATCGAGGACCCGTGCGAACGCATTAAGTAGGCTAGCTTGCTGTTTGACAAGGAATCATCAGAAAAATTAGTATTTTGGCTCTAACTTTTTACCCTTTTATCGGATCGAGCTCAATCAAAAAATTTACCACAATTATCGATAATTCTGCATCTATTCGTATCAAAAACTTATTTAAAAGAGGGCCGGAAGTACCTTTATTCTAAATCCGACATGACATATGCAATAAATCAAGTCTCATCAACCAAGCATGGTTATTGTACGGGTATTGGAACCGATCCCAGAACGATTTTCAAGAGCCCATAACGATTCAATCAAGAACTTTACCGCTGAGTTAAGAAGACAACGTTTTTTTAAAAAAACTATGCTATCGATTCAATAAACCCAAAGTGCACCGAAATCAAACATCGAAACAAACGAAAGTTTTTCCCTTTTCCTTTTCTCTTTCTCGAAATCATTTCTTTTCATCAAATCCATCCATTATTCTCTCAAATAAATGATTTCCCAAAAATGATATCATCTCAAAATCGTTCATGCAAAATTTGAATCAATAACGGAATGGTCATCAGTCAGAGCAGAGATTTTGATGACATGCACCGAATTTTGATGATTTTGATGACATCAATCATCAAAATCTCTGTTCCTAGTCTGAAAAAGAGACACAACAAAAGATTTTGCAGTGTTAATTTTTGAATTTTCAATGTTTTCTGATATTGGCCATTGAAAAATCCTTTTATTTTTCATTTCTTGGCTTTTTTTGACTTTTTTTTGGCTTTTTTTTTGGCTTTTGGCTTTCCACCATGTCAATCAGCAATTTTAAGCATTTCGAGTTAATATTAGGCTAATTTGGAAGCTTTTTGATGTAAAAAATTCGAGAAATTGACTGTACTTGGGTAGTTTAATTCATTTTTGCCTAGATTAATCTTTAAATTTTATGAAAAATCGGTTTTGAAACGGTTTTGAAGCGGTTTTGAAACGGTTTTGAATCAATTTTGAATCAATTTTGAATCTTTCTTGAACAGTTTTTATTTATTCTTTCAATTTCTTTTTAATACTGTAAATTCAGGCACTTGTTTAGCTACAGTAAATAAAGGAATTCAATCTACAAAGCTGAATATCTTTGGCTGAATACCTTTGGCTGAATCTCTGGCTGAATATCTTTAGCTGAATATCTTTGGCTGAATGTCTTTGGCTGAATACCTTTGGCTGAATCTCTGGCTAAATATCTTTGGCTGAATATCTTTGGCTAAATATCTTCTCTTGTTAGCTTCTCTTGGCTTGAAAGATATTCAATTTTGGTTTCAATCAGCTGAGTATCTTTATTGCAAACTGTAATGAGAAAAAGGACTTGAACTTTCAGTATGCTTAAGCTTTAATTCATTATATTCAATCTATTCAATCATTTCAATCATTTCAATCTATTCAATCTGTTCAATATATTCATTCTTATACTCCCAATTTTCCAGGTGACATCTCCGTGCCGGTATCCCATCTGAGGTCGGCTCGTGTGTGTATTCTTCGAAAGGGAGCCCAGGCGGTGTCGTGCGTTTTCTTTTTCGTAAACCTTCGCCACCTATTGCACCGATTCCCTTGACTTTTTTGGGTAAACGATGGCCAAAAAAGACAACAACGCCATCGAGGAGAACAATGCCGTGAGTGATTTTTCAGTGACAAGATTACCATGATTTCCCCATGCTTTCCAAGAAATCGTTTATGAGATTCATTTGGAATTGTAGCTAAATTTGAAAGAAAATTGGTCACCTAGCTCAATCAAGATCGTTAAATAAACTAGAAAACACATAGAATAAGCTTATTTGAAACAAGATTGATTGAAAGCGTTAATTAAACGTCAATCTTGGCAAGCTGCAGGTTTGGGAGCTCTAGATCAGTTGTAGATTTTGATTTGAATTCAGATTTGTAGATCTTCAGATTCAAAGATGACTTTAATGACCTGATTCATCTGTTGAAACTTTTCGAATCTAAAAGAAAGCTCTTCGTTTAGGGCTTAGCCAATAGCTTCAGCCAGCCAATAGCTTCAGCCAGCCAATAGCTTCAGCCAGCCAATAGCTTCAGCCAGCCAATAGCTTCAGCCAGCCAATAGCTTCAGCCAGCCAATAGCTTCAGCCAGCCAACACCCCAAACCAAAAAAAAACCAAAACCAAAAAAAGAAACAAAAAAAAAAAAAAAAGAGAAAAAAAAAAAAAAACCAAAAAAAAAAAAAAAAAAAAACTACATCTTAATATTAGTTTTGAGGTTTTAATCAGGCATATTAACTGTTTCGATCCGTTTTTCGTTGGCAATCTACGTATATTTGCTTGTATCTTAGCCGGATTTGTTTGAAAAAACATTGAATTTACTTTCATTCGACTCGAAAACAAATTTCCTATCGAATAAAAGTAAATTCAATGTTTTTCAAACAAATCCGATCAAGGTACAAGCAAAATTCGTAGATTGCCAACGAAAAACGGATCAAAAAAGAGGTTAACATGGCTAGCAGTGAGCTTGTCAGCGCTTTAAAATATCTGTTTCTCAAAGCTGGTTCAAATCTTGAAAACTAAACCTAGAATTTTACCTTAAATTATAGAAAAACCTATAAAAATCGACGTTTATCCGTTACGCCATATTGGTTTTCTTTTGGCTTTGCCATTTTTCTTCAATTCACTAAAATCCTTTCAATTTTGCGTCGCTCAATTGGCTTTTGGCCATATATTGAATAGGTCTTTTATAAGAAAAGGATAAGAGAAATTGAAGAAATGAGAAAAATAGGATCTTTTCTATAGAAAAATTTGGTTTATATCTAAATTTCCAAAAAGATACACTTAGTAGTTCCGCTTAAAATTTGACAAATCACATTTTGGTAAGTTTTCTCATTGTCGGGGATGGATTGACGGGCGATTAAGCAATTTATATGAAAGTTACTGATTTGAAAATCTTAAGAATACTGTAAAACGATCTATAGAATCTATAGAAAGCCTACTATAGAGGTACTATAGAAACTAGCTTGATTCTATTGGGTTGGTGAGTTGAAAACTGCCGGCTATTGTCATATGTCACAGTTTGAGCACTTTCTTCAAAAGAAACCCATTTTGGTGTCAATGAAAAAGTTGTAGAGAATCAAAAATTAAGTTTATATCCAAATTTTCAGAACGATTCAAAAACTGGTTTTCTAGAAATGCCAAATTTACACAAAAGAAATGCCAAATTTTCACAAAACTTGCATTTTAAGCGAAACTACTAAGTGTATCTTTTTGGAAATTTGGCTATAAGCCTAATTTTTGATTCTCTACAACTTTTCCATTGACACCAAAATGGGTTTCTTTTGAAGAAAGTGCTCAAATTGTGACATCGGACATCTCCAGTCTTCCATTTTTGAGTCTCGTCTCACACACAAACCAAAATCCTACTACGAAAGAGGAATCCGTAAATTGCCAGTAAAATGGGCAGAAGTCGTCAATAATAATGGAAATTATTTGGAATGAATTGGTGGTTTTATGTTGAATAAATTTTAGTTTAAAGTCCCGCAGTTTTCAATTCACCAACCCAATACCTCTGAAAGCTTATTAAGTATTCAAAAATCTCTCCCAAAACTTGCGTGACTAAAGAAGTTTCGTTGGAAATGTTGGATTTGAAAGGGAAATGTTGAATTTGAATTTTAAAATGTAATTCTATCATTTTTACATTTTAGTTAATGGCTAATGGTCGCCAACAGGCGAAACCGATGCACGATGAAACGTTTCGCCAATTTTTATACAACAAAGAGCGAGGCACTTGTCTGGGACGTGATGCAAAGAGTTGGGGTAAGTGGGAAATGAAAAACTTCGTCGATATCAATAATTCTACGATTCTTAAAACAGATTATAACAATATGAGTCATTGGAAGCTGACTCAATTGAATAAATGACTCAATTAAGCTTAGATTTAGCTGCTTGCCATTGCGCTTGTCATTGTGGATCAATGACTCGACTTTTGTTGCTTTTAGACTCAGCTTCTAGAGCTATTCTCTTCAGATTCAAACAATTCCCCAAATTTCAGCTCAAATCACAATCTTCTATGTGATCTTTTATGCAATCCTCGCCGCTTTTTGGATCGGTTGTTTGTGGATATTTTTGAGCACTTTGGATGAGAAAACCCCACGATTCTATGGAAAAGGAACGATCATCGGAGTGAACCCTGGTTCGTGAAAGTTTAACTGAATTATTGTGCTTATTTCTGTATGGTTAAAATTTAAAGAAAGGTTTTTCTGTTTCGTAGTTTCGAAGACAAATTTATATAAAGTCTATCGTCAAGAAAACTCTTTGGAACTCGTGGAACTAGGGCAGAAACCAGTGGAACTAGGACAGAAACTCGTGGAACCAGGGCAGCGCAAAAACTTGTGCACCGCCGGGACTCGAACCTGGACCTTTCGCTTACCGGAAACTTACCGGAAAACTGATAACTATTACAACAAAACGATCTCCTTTACTCCAGAGAAAGTTAACTCATTAAGAAGAAAGAATATCCTAATCTTAACTGAATACCTCAATCTAGACTGATTAGCTGGATTACGGTATTCAGTCTAGATTAGGATCAGTCTAGATTCAGTCTAGATTGAGGTATTCGGTTAAGATTAGGATATTCAGGCTAGATTATGATTAATCTAGACTAAATACCGTAATTCACTAATCTAGCCTGAATATCATAATCTAGCCTGAATATACTAATGAGTCTAGATTAGGATATTCAGTCTAGATTAGTGGATCACGGTATTCAGTCTAGATTAGGATATTCAGGTTAGATTAGTGGATCACGGTATTCAGTCTAGATTATGATATTCAGTCCAGATTAGCTGGATTACGTTATTTGGTCTAGATTAGTCTGTTCTAGTGTCAAAACCTTGAAAAATCCCGGTATTTTATCATTAATATATATTTCCAAATTTCCCTAAGCTCTCGTTAAATGTCTTTTCATTTTGTGAAAGAAATTCAAAGAAATGGACTTTTATGAAAGCTTCTACGTAGATTTTTCCTAGCTGCGCCTTTTGTTTGAAATTCCCGACGAAACTAAAAGATATTCAACTACTCAGTCGAATATTTAACTATTCTTGTAGTTTCGTTCTCTAGTTCTCTTTTAGTTAGAGGAATTTCAAGGAATTTCGTGGGCAAAGGGAACAAAGTATATTAAAGAAACATTAAAAATGAGGCTAATTTAGAGTTGGCTTTGGATTGACTTGGATATTTTAACGATCAACGACATTTTAAAACAACTAACAGACTTTTTTTTGCCTATTCAGCCAAGTCGTGGATCTTTCCAAATGAAATGATTGCATAAAATCTAAAATCAAATATCTCTGAGCCAAGTGAACGGTTAATTTTGTAAATTCTGAGGTAAAAATAGAGTTTTGAAGTGGTCGCGCTTTTTGCTCTTGCCTGTCGCCCGAAAGCTCGAGGGTTCGACTCCCATCGCTGCCATCAAATTTTTACTTTCTCAATCTAATCTAATATTTCTAATCCATTCTAAAATTGCCATTGAATTTGTCGGGGAGAAATGCTAGAATTCGGTTCAATTATAAAAGGGTTAAAACATTAAATTTAGACAAAATCAATGATCAATCTTTGTTTCCTTTCAACGGATGAATAAGAGGAATGTCTCATTTCTTTTCTTTATCCATTGACCTTTATTCTTTTCTTTATCCATATCCATTGACCGCTCATCATTTGAGCATCTCTTGTCCGAGAATAATTGATAGCACTTACAGAAATCTTTGGGAAATGAAATTTATGCTTTGAGTCATAGAATGTCTTTGAGTTTGAAGTCAAAGAAGGACTTTGAGTTTTGAGTCATAGAATGATTTAAGAATGACAATTGAATCGGGATTGTAAGCTTGAGAACTTTAAGAAAGCAAAATAATGAATGGCAAAGAAAGATTCCGGGGAAAGGGATTGAACCCTGGACTTTTTGCTTTCCTTTTGTTTCCAAATCGCTCTAACCACTGAGCTACTGGATGTATCTTCTTTCCAGAGAAGAAAGAGAAAATACAAAGGGGGAAGAGAAAGGAAGAAAGAGAAAGAAAGAAAGAGAAAGAAGATTCATTTACCTAAGGATCTGATTCTGATTGAAGTTTAAAAACAGATTAAACTTGCCAAGAACTTGCCTTTCTTGTCAAGAACTTGCCAAAAACTCATCGTTTCAAATTCCAGGACTTGGCTATCAACCGTGGATAAAGGAGAACCCCGATTCGACTCTCATTCAATTCAATCTACAGGACGCTTCCACATACAAGCCATACGTTGAGCAGATGAAAGAATACCTAAAGAAATATCAGGTTTGTCAAGCTTTAAACTTGAACAGTCATTCTCCAAGTATCCTTCAAAGAAAACTCTCAATTCCAGAAGACAAACGGCACCCGTACTTGCACAGGCTCCGAATCGAACAAGGCACTTCAGCCAAGTGATGGATCCGAATCAGCTTTGGTAGAATTTTTGTTGGCTCTTAAGCATTTTGACTCTTTCTCTAGATCTAATAACATTGTAGTAACATTTTAGAAAAGAAAAACTGTTTAGTTTTGTTGATTCCTAATAGAAAACTGTTTAGTTTTATCTATTTTCACTTTCAGCCTTGCGAGTTCCGCTTGAAAGTCTTCGATGAAGGCAAATGCTCGGAAGCTGACGCCTATGGATACAAAAGTGGAAAGGTTTGTGTAAAACGGTGTACAATGATGGAAATATCTTAAAATAGGTCAAAAATGAAAGATTTTCTTAGTCCAAAAGCAGTACAACTTTCTCATGGCTCAATCGAGAGTTTTCTAGTGCACTGGCCTAAGCCCAAACCATTTTCTAGTGCACTGGCCTAAGCCAAAACCATTTTCTAGTGAACTGACCGAAGCCAAAACCATTTTCTAGTGCACTGGCCTAGGCCAAAACCAATTCATTTCTCTAAAATGGCTCTTGACAGCTTTAGCAGAACAATTTCGAAGAAATTGTATTCCCAGAATGTTCAGAAATTGTCAATATCATTTTGAGGTTTAAATAGAGTTTTGAAGTCGCTGTAAAACTGCTCCTTTGGCCGAGTGGTTAGCGAGCACGGCTCTCGCTTGAAATCTCGAGGGTTCGACTCCTATCACTGCATAATTTGCCAATATTAGTCGATTCCATGACTCTAGAAATAGCCTTTGACTCTAAAAGCCTCTAGAAATGACTCCAGAAGCCAACTTTTCCAAGCCGATTTCCAGATTTCCACACATTTGAATTCCCGGGGCTTCAAGATAATGTAGCTTCAAGAAAAGAGAAAAAAGGAAAAGAGGGAAAGGGCCAACTGTGACGTCAACGGACTCTGGCCTTTCGGGAAAGAGCTTTTAAGAGGAAAAGAATAGGGAAAAGCCCTAAGGCTGAAAAGAGTATACTGGATGGGGATTTTCTTTTCGCTTTTTTTCACTTTTTTTTTTGCGAGAAATTCACGGCTTGGCCCCATTTCGATTTAAGCGTGAATCATTCGCTCATTTCTGCTGCCGGGAGTCCCCGCCAATTTTGAAAAAGGGGTTTTCAAGAAAATTGAGGAAACTGCCGAATGGAGAACTTTTCATAAAGAGGAATAACTCAATATAGATTATCTAGAGTCGTTTTCAAAAGGTGAATAGCTTGAAAAGCTACCGTAGCGCTTGCTTCAAGCGCTACGGTAGCTCTAGCAAGCTCTAGATTTCGAATTGAATTGATTTACTTGATTTGCTAACTGTTAAAGTTGATAGCTTGAAACAAAGCTTTATAGCTTTATAGACAAAATAGCTTTTGAATTAAGCCTTGCGTGATTCTTTCGCTCAATCGTCTGATCGGCTGGCAGCCCGTCGACTACCCAGCCAACTCAGTGCCAAAGAAAGTGCAAGGCCGATACAGGAACGGATCGATCGCCATTCATTGCGATGGAACGGTGAGTGATTGATTGAATAATCGGTTTTGGAACAAAGATATGCGAATCTAACAAAGTCAAGGATGTTCCAAGGTTCTCTAATCTAGCCCAGAGCCCAGCAAGACTCAGATCCAGATCTGATTCTGTCAGAAATAGGAACTATCGTGTATCAAGCTGACCCAACTAGCTATAGCTCTTGATTTATAGTTGACCCTGGCCCGAGAATCAATCTTTTAAACTTGAAACAATTTCAGAATGACATCGACAAAGAGCACATTGGCAAGTTGAGCTATTTGCCGCCAGAGGGAATCGAGGGAAAATACTATCCATACTCTTTCGTCGAGAACTATCATCAACCAATTGTGAGTTCTTGCTCTTGGAGTGCTTGCTCTTGGAGCTCTTGCTCTTGGAGTTCTTGCTCTTGGAACTCTTGCTCTTGAAGTCCTTGCTCTTGGAGTTCTTGCTCTTGGAACTCTTGCTCTTTAAGTCCTTGCTCTGGAGCTCTTGTTCTCGTCCAGCTCTTGGAATGAAAAAAATAAACGCACGCCTTCTAGTGCATTCAAGAATTGAGTGCGCTAAGAGGTGCGTTGCCATTCTGCGAACAAAGTACATCTAGCCAGCTCCACAATGCACTCAATAATTCAAATTTTCCAGGCGATGGTCCGTTTCGATACTCTTCCCCGAAACAAGCTCGTTTTGGTCGAGTGCCGCGCATATGCTCTGAACATTGAGCATGACATTACTTCTCGGCTAGGCCTCGTCCATTTCGAGGTCTTCGTCCAAGACAAGAAGCCCGAAGCGAAGAAAGAGTTGTAGAGAATCGATCTAGCTCAACTCGAAATCAAAGTTCTCCAATAGTTTTTGCAAATTAGTCTATTAGTCTTGGCCTTTTAGTCGGGTTGTTCCCCATCGTTCCCCCCAGAATCCCCATTGAGCAACCTGTCTAAATCTTTCCAGAAAACACATTGTTTTCCAATCTCATGGCCTAGGTAGCTTTTCCCGTTTATTAGAATAATGAGATTTGTTTACGCTTAGCTTTTAATCGTTAAATTTTAATCTATTTTAATCTTTTTTTGAGAAATTTATGCCTCGATTGATAGAAGAGAAATTGAAGAAATGAATTTTGCTTGATTGATTGAAGCTTTTGCTCTGGAGTTCTTGCTCTTGGAGTCCTTGCTCTTGAAGTCCTTACTCTTGGAGTTCTTGCTCTTGAAGCTTTTGCTCTGGAGCTCTTGCTCTTGGAGTTCTTGCTCTTGAAGCTCTTGCTCTGGAGCTCTTGTTCTTGTCCAGCTCTTGGAATGAAAATATAAACGACAAAGAAATCGTCTTCAATTTCTCTCTACTTTTCAATTTTGTGCTCACTTTTTTCGGTGAAAAGCGTTGCGCTAAAGGGTGAGCGTTTTGCGAATCGCACAAAGTACTCCGTAAAGCTGAGTCTCTAAAAATGCACATCGTTTAGCACACCAAAAACCGTTTCCCTGCCTCGAATTGTCGACGTTTCGGCGCGTTTTTTTGGAAAATTCGATTTTCTTGATTTAAAATTTGAAATTTGACCGTAATCTGTGAGTTTTTGGTTAAATTTTTCCAAAAAATTGCTTTGAAACGCGTGTTTTTTTTTTCGCAAAATCATTCTTTTCCAATGAAAAAAAACTGACTGTTTTTGCGAAAGCTTTCGGTTCAATTACCCACTTTTTATAGGCTAAATACCGGAAATCGCAGGTCAACCCGCGAAAACTCTGAACTCCTTCCCTTTCTCGTTTTTCCTTGTTCGATTTCAAACCTTTTACGCAACACTGCTTTTTTTTATCTAACGCTTTTGCATTTATTCAATTTACACTTCACCGTTTTTCCGTATCGGACTTGTTTTTCTTTGTTTTTTTCAATAAAAACCCCCATAAAACACTGTCAAAATGCATGATCCGTTCTGGTGTCCGAATTCTGGTATTTCTCCCCGACAAATTCTGCTGGAATGTGCGTTGTAAATGGTGGGGGTTTGAAAAAGAAAAAAATGACAAAAAAGGAAGCGAATGGCAGAGACCGGAGTCGAACCCGGAGTCCCCTGTCTAAGGGGTAGTTTGAGAAACCATCTCTTTAACCACTCGGCCATGAGACCATCTGGGTGGCTCGCTTCAAATCTCTCTTTGGTAGGGGTTTGAAAAAAAAACATGAAAACAAGAGATTAAATGGCAGAGACCGGAGTCGAACCCGAACCTCCCTGTCTAGCGGGTCGTTTGGGAAACCTTCTCGCTAACCACTCGGCCATGAGACCATCAAGGCACCTCGCTTCAAATCTCTCTTTAGTGGAAGTTTGAAAAAAAAAATGACAAAACGAAATCAAATGGCTGAGACCGGAGTCGAACCCAGACCTCCCCGTCTCGGTGGTCGTTTGACAAACCCTTTCGCTAACCACTCGGCCATGGGACCATCCAGGCACCTCGCTTCAAATCTCTCTTTAAACCCACCGAAATTTACAATGCACTTTTTTCTTTACTTTTTTATACTTTTTTTTTTGAGATTGGCCTTTTTTTTTGAATTACTTTAGTAAATGTGTTTTCTAGTAAACAAAAGTTAAAGAGTTTTTTTCCAAATTGTGATGAATGATGCTGGAGAAATTTTCTAACTGCAAACAGCAAAAAAATCAATAGAAAACACTACATTTTCGTTTTTTTTTTTTCAGCTCCAAATTATAGCCTTCAGAATTGAAAATTTGAGGTTTTTCAAAGAAATTTCGAATGAAAACGATTATTTTAGCGAAATTTCGAAAGAAAACCTCAAAACCCTCCTTTGTTAGAGTATTTTTGATGTGGTTTTCGTCTAAAATTCAATCAAATTTCCTCTCTCAACTAGCGAATTTGCAAAAATTTCCTCTTTTTCTTTATCTCGATATGATTTTTGTTTTATTTTATCGTTTTTTTCTTTTTCTTTTTCTTTTTTTAATAATTTGTGTGTTTTCTTTTTTCCAATTCGGCTCTTCTGTATGATTTTTTGTAACAAGAGATTAATAATAAAGTTTGTAAACTAAAATTGTAAATGAAATGTAAAAGGAAAATGGCAAAGAAAAGAAAAATGAAAATTTTGAAAAGAGATCACAGATATTTGAAATGATTGAGCAAAATGATTTTGAAATGATTTTGTTAAATGAAAAGAGGATAAAGCGAGAAAGAACGATGAAGAAATTGATCAAAATCTTGCCAAAGTCTAAAATTACAATATGAAATAAATAAAGAAATAAAGAAAGAAATACCGTATTTACTCTAATAGTGGGGTCGTCTGGAGGGGGGTTGAAAAAATAGTGGGGTCCTCTCTAATATTGGTAACGAAAGTGATACATCAATTGTTGATCTCTTGGATTAGTTCTTTTACTGTTTGTTAGTGTTTTGTTACGGTTAAAGCTAAATAAAATATGAAGCCAAACTTGTTTTGTCAAGAATTTCGGAGAAAAATTGATATCTTTTGAATTTAAAACTTTGGTTTTATGTTCTTTTAAATTTCTCTAATAGTGGGGTCCTCTCTAATAGTGGGGTCGTCTGGAAGGGGATTGAAAAAATAGTGGGGGACCCCACTAATAGAGTAAATACGGTAAATAAAGAGATAAATAATTAAACTGGAAAAAGCAAAAATTAGGGTATGGTTGGGAGGAGCCAATTTTCACAATTTAGGTGCTTTGGTCCACAGAAACCTATGTTGGTGTCAATAGATAAAAGATAGAGCGCATAAAGTTAAATCTACAGCCAATTTTTGCTCGGCTTCATCGAATCTAGTATTTTGTTCATCTCAATACTTGGGAGTGTGAAATCGAGTCGTCAAAAAGGGCAATAACCCGAAGACACAATTTAGGCGGTTTGGTCCACAGAAACCTATGTTGGTGTCAATAGATAAAAGATAGAGCACATAAACTTAGGTATATAGCCAAATTTTCAGGTCAATCTATTTAGCCGATTTGTCTTTGTAGAGCTTTTTATCGAATTTTTACGCAAAACGAGTTTTTGCACTTGAATTTGCTTGGAAAATGACCTAAATTGCCTTAAAAAGATAGGAAAATGAATAATAAACATTTACTATTTAGAGCCAATTGTGAATTGATGAATTTGTCATTGATTATAGTAGAATTGCTAGTAGAAAAAAATGTTGAAAGACTTATAGATGCTCTTGGAGTTCTTGCATTCTATCAACCTGATAGAATGCGCTTTTTAGAAACGATTGCTGAAGAATATAGCCTAAACAGCAGATACGGAACTCAAGCTTGACTATTAGCCTTATAATGACCAAGTCTTATTTCAGAATCTAGGAGTATTTGAATGAGAGAACCATATCCCAATAGAGGTTACGGTAGATGAGGAGATACAATAACATTAGCGATACTGTAAGCGATACTGTAAGCGTTACAGTAAGCGATACAGTAAGCAATACAGTAAGCGATAACGTAAGCGACACAGTAAGCGATACAGTAAGCGATACTGTAAGCGATACTGTAAGCGTTACAGTAAGCGATACTGTAAGCAATACAGTAAGCAATACAGTAAGCAATACTGTAAGCGATACTGTAAGCGTTACAGTAAGCGATAACGTAAGCGATCCTGTAAGCGATACTGTAAACAATACAGTAAGCGATACACTTTTTAGTAAGCTATCAATTCTGTAAATTGCACAGTCTGTAGTCTTAACTTCAAACTTTGGCACTACCAAGAGTAAGCCTTATTTCCGGTTAGAAATATTTTAAATAGAATCTTAAATTAGAAAAGCCTGGCAAGATTCAGAATTACAAACAACAAGAAGAGGCAGAGAACAAGCGCCATAACGGCGCAAAGTTTGTTGTTTGCGGCTTTTCGGCTGACAATCGCTTGATCGGTTTGTATTTCGACTTTCTCCATGACAATCTTCGTGATTTCAGTATGCTTTTCGACGCGATTACCGATTTCACCCTGGAATTTATTTATAGATTTATTTATTTGTAGATTACAGTGTCTAGAGATAGCTTTTCTACAGTACTAATAGAGTCAAAATTGCTGTTACCTGTGTGTGCACAACATATTCCAAATCTTCCATCATTTCATGAAGCAATTTCGTCTTCTGTTCGACTTCCAAGATGTCATCATTTCTCTTTTTGATTTCCCTCAACGCTTTGTTGATCGATTTGGCGCGCCAGAGGGGTTTCTGCAAAGGGTTTACTCACAATTTTTATGTTAATAGTTAAAAGTAAACATTTTTATGAAAAATGTTTACTTTTAGTTTAAAATAACTTGTATTTTAAACGGCGAACTTTACAATTAACAATTAACAATTAACAGAGAACAACGAGAACGGAGAACTCTACCACTTTAACTTTACAAATCCAAATACAAATCAAATAAAAAAGTACCGAGCGGCGGACTCGAACTAGTGAATGTTTCCCCTTGTATTCTAACCAACCGCCACTCGGCCAGTACTGCTCCTTGAGGTCTCCGGAAAATCTGCTTATAAACTCTGATTTTCAAATCAAATCCCATACAAAACTTTGAAGGCTTATAACTTTTGACGGAGTGCTCCATACGCCTATTCCATACGCCTATTCCATACGCCTATTCCATACGCCTATTCCATACGCCGATTCCATACGCTGATTCTATACGCCGATTCCATTCCCCGATTCCATACCCCGATTCCATACGCCTATTCCATACGCTGATTCTATACGCTGATTCTATACGCCGATTCCATTCCCCGATTCCATTCCCCGATTCCATACCCCGATTCCATACACCGATTCCATACCCCGATTCCATACGCCGATTCCGAATCTGCTTTCCGTTATTGCTGAACATTATCCTGGCTGGAGTTATAAGCGTTTAAAGTTTTGTTAGGGCTCTGAAAATATGGGTTTTTGGGTCTTAGGCGCCTTCTGCGTGGCCCCGATTCTAGTAGGCCATGGTCGAGCGGTAGAGCGTCTGTATTCGAGACCAAAGATCACTGGTTCGAGTCTCTGTATCGGATTTTTTTCAAGATGTGAAAACTTGCGTTCTTTCTGACCACGGACATGTCCATGGTCCATGGAGCCTAAAAACCCATATTTTCAGAGTCCTAACAAAACTTTAAACGCTGATAACTCCTGCCAGGATAATGTTCAGCAGAAACGGAAAGCAGATTCGGAATCGGCGTTGAATTCTGCGTCGAATAACCCGGCACAACACAAGCTCCATAGTCTTGTATGGTAATAATTTAGCCACCAAACCCAGTTCCCTTGTCAGTAAGGGATACTCCATATCTTTCATCATTTTATGAAGCAATTTAGTCTTCTATTTGTCTTTAAGATGATTATTTTGTAACTCGACGTCACAAAACTTGCTTTACCGTTTCATTTATCGTTTGTAGCTCGGTTTCATCGACCACTTCGATAATAGGTTTTTCGAGCTCAACCCAGTAAGATTCCTGCACGATCTCGTGCTGACTCGGTTTCATCAGTTCTAAAAGAAACTGTTCTTTCAGAGATATTCTAACTGGTTACAAAAGTTTAGGCCATATAGAGCACAACAGAAGCTAGATCTAAGCCTGACTTCTTGCATACCTGGGAACTTTTAAAGGGGTATTCCGGCCTGAAAACTGACTTTCAAAAAAGTCGCGGTCATTTCTATATTATTCGATGCGTTTTAGTCTCCTCTACAACTATTTCCTATATGAAAAACAAGGTTTCCAATCGAGAAATGAAAAAAAACGCGATTTTTGCTTTCCGCTTCACCCTAAAATGTGAATATTTGGACAAAAAGTATAATTTAAGTAAATCAGTTGCCTGTAAACGTTTTTAGACGAGCTGGAAGGGAAATAACTTACGCAAAGATTTAAAAAAACCTGGTTTTTGGCAACCTAGTTTCAAAATGGATTACTTTTGCTGATTTGTGGATGGATGAATGGCTCAATGTCACTAATCCAGTCAGTGAATAGACTTTGCGACTGAGCGATTGATTACTGAGCGATTGATTTTAGTGAAGAGTTTAGTTTTCACATCGTAATACATCCATTTTGTTGTAAATTTCCTTTCTAATGCTTTTGCGATTGTTTTTTTTGAGATAAGCAAAGCAATAGGAGAGCCATTGTCAGCTGACTTAAGGCCAGGTAAAGAGCTAAGATTTTGGCCTTTTCCAGGTCTACCTATCTAGCTAACTTGGTCTTTTTTGACTCATCGTTCAAGAAAGTGAAAAATTACTCAAAGATCCGAGTTAATTTGCATTCAAAAGTTCATAACTCGCTTTAAAGTCAATATTTTTATAAACAATTGCTAGATAAATAATCCTCAAACATTTCTCTACATTTTGACGCCTAATTTAAGTAAATCAATTGCCTGTAGATGAGTTTAGATGAGTAAATCAGTTGCCTGTAGTTTAGATGAGTTGGAAGGGTAATAAATTACACAAAAATCAAAAAAAACTGTAAATCATAATGTTAATGAGCGAAAAATCTAGATTAAGCAGGAAAAATTACACTCAAAAGTTGTATGCGATTCGAAAACTCACCATCATCAAACCAGTTAGCAATCTTGTTCTTGTATTCCACTTCTAAACAGGACTTCAACTCAACAGCGTCTCTCAACAGTTTCAACACAAATGCGTACTGATTCTCGATCATTTTTATCTCAATTTGTTTAGAAGAGTCTGTAAAAGAAGGAAATTTTAAAATTTTTCAACAAAATCTCACTTCTTTTCATCTCCTGAAACTTCAAATGCATCTCATCAATTGACGGTTTCACCAAGCGCAACTGTTTTCGAACAAGTAAGCATCGAGCTTCAAGATCTTCCTAAAACTATGAAATCTCGCTTTTCACAGGCTAATTGGTTAAAAGCTAAAAGGCTAAGGCTAAAATTTTGATTTCTCTTCTCTACCTTTTCATGTTTTTGAACCATTTTTCTAGAAATTATCGCTTTTTGCTCGACATGCCATTCTTCAATCGTTTTCTGGATTTCATCGACTTCGGGAAGGATCTAGAGAATTTTGAACGGTTTCCAAAGCAAAGTTTTCTGGATTTTTTTAAACTCTAGAGTTTTATCTATCTAGAGTCTAGAGTTTTAAAACTCTAGACTCTAGAAAGATAAAATCTAAGCAAGTTCTAACCTATCTAGAGTCTTTAAACTCTAGATAGATAAAATCTAAGCAAGTTCTAACCTATCTCGAGTTCTTAAACTCTAGATAGATAAAATCTAAACAAGATCTAACCTATCTAGAGTCTTTAAACTCTAGATAGGTTAGATCTAAGCAAGTTCTAACCTATCTAGAGTTTCTAAACTCTAGATAGGTTAGATCTTGTTTTAAAATCCAAATTTAACACATTCGTGACAACCTGGGCTATTTTTTTATGGCTTCCACCAACCAAACAATCTGAAAATCGATACCTGGGGTTTTTGGAATGGGAAATTCGAATCCGAAGTCAGATTCTAAAAATCTCGAACGTGCGCCTTCATATCCCTCAGCCCAGCCGGTAGAGCGTGTGTTTCACGCTTGTTTCTCAGTCAGAAGAGCACTGGTTCAATTCCTATTGCTGCCAAATCAATTCCTATTGCTATTACCGTTTGCGTGACTGTTTCTCGCCAAATTTACAGCCGAAAGTTATCCAAAACTTGATAATATATGTAATTTGAAGTCTTAAACTCGGATGTGTTGTTGTTTTTCAAATTTTTGCTTTGGAATATCGTATAGTTACATAATTTTAACTTTAATGATTGTTTCCCCATCAAATTCGGATTCTGCACCCCAGAAAACCCCTAGGAATAAGTTTTCAATTTCTTAAAACTTTAAGCACTTGTTTTGCTTTTTGCTGAGCACAATTGCTGAGCACATTTCTCCCAGATAGCTCAAAAAAGGCTTTGTCGCAAATATGTTAAATTGTTGACAAATTTCCCAAGGAAATACGATTTCTCACCTCTCTAACAAACCCTGAGAATGCTTGCGAAGAGGTAGGGATTAACTCGTATTCTTCTTCAGAGATACTGTTCGAATTGGAGTCAGACGAGTTTGAATCGATTGTCTGAAAAGATTCAAATTGTATTCGTAAACCAGGTAAAAATTCGTAAAACAAACCCTAAACTCAGCGAGTCGATCTTTGATCATCTTGGACACCTAAAATCGAATCCAATTGACATGCATTCACATGGTTTTATGAGAAAATACTTTTAATTTCCAAGTTCAACAGTTTCAAACAATTGCTGAGTATGGGATAAGTTCTGGGAAAGCAGAAAAAGTCTTCGTTTTTTGATCGATCGAGTCTGAGTCGAGAAAAGTGAGCTCTTTATGGGATGGTTTTGATTTTGAGATCAAATAAACGGTAATAAGTACAATAAATAAAGGATTTCTGAAATCAATATCATAAACTAAATCTGTTATGACAATGTACCGTAAATACTGTAATAGTACCCGCACCCCCATAATGACGATGCGGAGTATTGCGTAGTCTAGCTTTGGACGCGCTTTTCTCGACACTGGTTTATGCTACAATGCGCGCTTAGGTATCAAAAAATAGCCCTGAATTTCAGCTATTTTTTTGTTACCAAAGACGCATTTTTTGAAAGTACAGGTGCATTGCAAAAATGAAATACTAAAAAACTTTTGCGACTACCCGACTGTACGATACGGTGGGGTACTATTACAGTATTTACGGTAGGTCCTGACAAGCTTTCAAACATACGCGAATCAGTCAATATTTGTATACGAAATACCTCGCGTTAAAAGAAATCCCATTGGATAAACTAAAATCAGATTCAGAACTAGCGTAAAAAGTTCTATTACGTATACTGGGTTTCATTTTGAAACGCAAGCTTGGTGCCTTTCCCTCGTAAGTTATTATCAGAGTCAGACCAACAGTTACCGTAAACACTGTAATAGTACCCGCACCCCCATAATGACGGTGCGGAGTATTGCGTAGTCTAGCTTTGAACGAGTTTTTCTCGACACTGGTTTATGCTACAATACGCGTTTAGGTATCAAAAAATAGCTGAAATTCAGGGCTATTTTTTGATATTAAAGATGCATTTTTTGAAAGTACGGGTGCTTTGAAAAAAATGAAATACTAAAAAAACTTTTGCGACTACCCGACTGTACGATACGGTGGGGTACTATTACAGTATTTACGGTATGTTTATCGTGAGCGTTCTTTTCCAGTGAGTCACTATAAAACTTCTACAAATAGGGGACATGATTTTCGATTTCGAAAAAACAAATCCGATTAAATGATGACTTGAGTGAGAGAAAAAACCCTTTTTTGCAGTTTTTTGAGTTCAACAAGAGGGTGAAAATACTCAAAATTGAATGAAAGATTGGAAGAAAAAGCCAGAACTAGAACTAACAACTGAACCAACTTGTAAATAGTGCCTTGAAATAGAGACTAGAGGCTGAAATAGATTTGAAAACACACCTTTCCTGGCGTGCTCGATAAAATCTTATTTATGTAAGAAAAATGAAGTATCGAATTTGCTAGAAAAGCTGCTTACGGCTTTGAAAAGAGTCAAGCCATATTTGAACCGAAACAAATTTATTCATCAAACACTAACTAACAAGAAACTCCAGTTCTGAACTTCAGCGCTGAATTCCAGCTCTGAACTCCAGCTCTGAATTCCAGCTCTGAACTCCAGCTCTGAATTCCAGCTCTGAACTCCAGCTCTGAACTTCAGCTCTGATCTTCAGCTTTGGACTCCAGCTCTGAACTTCAGCTCTGATGTTCAGCTCTGAACTCCAGCTCTGAATTCCAGCTCTGAACTCCAGCTCTGAACTTCAGCTCTGATCTTCAGCTTTGGACTCCAGCTCTGAACTTCAGCTCTGATGTTCAGCTCTGAACTCCAGCTCTGAATTCCAGCTCTGAACTCCAGCTCTGAACTTCAGCTCTGATCTTCAGCTTTGGACTCCAGCTCTGAACTCCAGCTCTGAACTCCAGCTCTGAAACTAATTGAGTTCTATTCTAAAATATTCTAATTATCTTCTAAAAAGTTGAGTTTTACTTAAAACCATAAAATGCGCTAGAAAATTGATTGGTTTAGCTGAAATTCAAACTGAAAAATCATGTTCCCTATTTGCAGAAGTTTTATAGTGACTCACTGGAAAAGGTTTGCTGAAAAAAAAGTGAAAAAAAACGAACGAGAGAGGTTTTCTCTACGAATTTTCCAAGAACTTTCTTTTTCCAAAAAACTGGACAACAAAACTGGCTAAGATTTTGTTTTCTAAGAAATCAATGTTCCAAAAATTGTCTAAGGTCAATTTATAAGTTCTTAGAAAAGATCAGAGCTGATTCTAAAAATTGTTTTAGACATGGAGAAGAATGAAGGGCTAAAACACGAAAGACAAGACAAAACAAGATTTTTTTTGTTCAGTTTCCCCGTTCGAAACTGTCTGTGGATTCGTAAACGATAATAGAATATATTGAAGAAGCTTGAAGTGAAAAAGGAGGAGGAGTTACTTTACTGGAGTTAAGATTGGTGAAGCAGTGAAGCTTGGCAAGGAATGTAGCTCCAGTATCTATTCATGGATTACTTACCTTACTGGAGTTACCATATGGGTACAATATTTCTTTTCATTAGCAACTTACTTTACTCGAGTTCTTTGCCGACTATGCCCAAGTCCTTGGGTTGAATCCAAATAATTCCCCAGTAGTCTTGTAAGGGACTATTCACGGGGAACTTTTTAGAAGATAATTAGAATATTTTAGAATAGAACTCAATTAGTTTCAGAGCTGAAGTTTAGAGTTGGAGTCCAGAGCTGAAGTTCAGAGCTGGACTATTCATGGTGCTTGGGGTCCAGGATTGGTCGGGGCAGTAAACTTACGGACACTGAATTGGCCAATTATAAATCTACTTGTTGGATTGTGCTACTCCTGGCTTGAGGCTTACGAGTGGATTCGTTACTACGTTGACTAATCGGGACACAACCCGATACGAGAACAATGTTCCGGGGCTGGATGTGGAGGCTGATGGCCAGACGTTGATTGGTTATCGAATTGAGTCGTTTCGCAACCATTGCCAAATTGACTAGTTAATAAATCAATTCATAGAGAGACGATTCATAGAGAGATCAGAAACGACTTTCCCTGCCTATATGGAAAAGCCGTTAGCCAGACAGCGAGCGATTACGCAGTCATCTAAAGAACACTTTACGGCCACTTGATAGAGGGATTATATTGCTCTGAAAATGGTGCACAGTAGAGATTTGGAAGTGAAAATTGGTGCTTGAAGGTTTTCGGGGGCGAAGAATCAATTGGTGGGATTTATTTTACTATATCTTTCCACCTAAGCACTAATTCTTAGCTTAAACTCAATATGTGACTTTAATAAGTTGAAAAATCGCAAATTTCTGAATTTTTGCATGACGAAAACTCGAAAAGGGTGATTTGGATTAAAAAGTTAAATGCAAATTCGTGTTCTTTTATAGAAAAACTGGTTTAATAAAAGAAAAACTGGTTTTTTTAAACGAAAGTATATACAAAATCAATTCTAAATCATACAAGTGTGATAGATTCTTTTCTTTTTTCTCCTTTTCATGGGTGGGAAGGGATTTTGTCGTGTCAGTTTGCACCCCTTTTCATTTTTCTTTTCAGCAGAGAGTCAGTTGAGAGTCAGAAAAAGAATTTCTGGTAAATAGAAAACGACGAAAGTGAGATGAGTCACGATTCTGATTATTGCCATTTTTAAATTCAAAATTTACATTCATTTAATTTAAAATGTTTAATTCTACAGGGTGCGTCATAATTATTGCAACAAGATTTCAAAGACCGTTTGTGATGTCAAGAATGTGATGTCACGGGCGTGTAAAGCCAATAACAATCAAAATTGGTTCTTCATGCAAGATGGAGCTCCCGCTCACACGAAGAAAACGGTTCAGGACTGGTGTGTGGCCAACTTTCCCTCAGTGATCACCAAGGATGAATGGCCTCCAAACTCACCGGATCTCAATGTGATGGACTTTTCCATTTGGGAAATCTTAGAGGCTAATGTCTGCTCTCGAAAACACACAAGTTTGGATTCTTTGAAGAAGTCTTTGACCAAAGGATGGAAGGCGATTCCTCAAGATGACATTCGGGCCGCAGTGGAGGCATATCCGAACCGATTAAGGGCTGTTATCAAGGCAAAAGACGGTCATATCGAATGATCTCTTGTTTCCTTATTTGTTACTGTTAAATAAAGCTATTTCTGTTTAAAAATCTTCTTCCAGTGAAACTTCTTGGTGTGCAATGCCTTGAGTATCTTGTTGCAATAATTATGATAGAAAGTGATTGATGATTTTCATTATTTTAAATTCAAAATTTAATTTAAAATGTTTAATTCTAGAAAGTGATTGATGATTTCATCAATTTTAAGCAATTTTTTAAGCAATTTGACCTTGATAGTTTGTATTTTTGTTAAATAATCATTAACCAAAAACAGAAAGCATTTAAGAAAACATTTTTTTGTCTTATTTCAATAGAAAGTTTCATTTCTGCGCCTTCATTTCACTGATTTGAAGCAACTTTGAAATTCGAGTTTTTTTTATGGGGTTTTTCTTCGAAGCCGGGCCTGAATTCAGGCCCAGACTGGGTTTAATGCAAGTCTAGCCAGGGAGTTGTTGTTGTTCAGGGACAAAAGTATCTGAGTACCTGAGTTCAGAGCCAGGGCCACCAAACTATTGGGTTGATGCATAATTATCCGGACTTCTTTTTGCGTGCTTGTATCTTTTTTGTTTTGAAAGCTTTTTGTCTATTTCTTTTTTTTAAATATTCGTTATTCTTTAGTGAACAAAATGCGTGTCGACAATCATATCCATCTTCGCCATATCATGCTCTACCACTTCGAAAAGGGATGGTCTGCCGCAGAGTCGTTTCGCGATCTCAAAGAGCTGGAGAAGCCCCAACGGACTACCACGTCAATCGATCGCTCAAAAATTGGCAAACAAATAAGATCTACAACGATTTGGATGACTTGATAGACGATGTTAAAGCGTGGATTGCCTCCAAAGATCGTTTATTCTTCGCTCGTGGAATCGATCGTCTTCCAAGCAAATGGCAATCAGTTATTGATGTAGGCGGTGAATATGCTCCAGAATAATCAATTAAACATATTTTTCTAACTATTTATGTTATTTTTTGTTAAATAAAATCTTTAATAAAAGAAGTCCGGATAATTATGCATCAACCCAAAATTTATGTTATTTTTTGTTAAATAAAATCATTTATAAAAGAAGTCCGGATAATTATGCATCAACCCAATATTTACCATTCTCTGGTAAATAGACAAAAGTAAGTCTCTGGTTTGAATCCATGAGATGAGCCAGGGTCTCTCCGATGCTGTAGGCTCCGCCCCGTTCGACTTTGGGTTAGATGAATAGACTACCGTAAATACTGTAATTGGACCCCATGGGGTACTATTTTTTCCCTCCCCCTCTAGGGTGGGGTACTATTAGAGGGTGGGGCACTTTTAGAGGGTGGGTCACTATTTTACACCACTGTTCAAGTTACCAAATCAGGATACATTCAAATAGTTTTTTCAAAGGCAAACTTTTTCTTCAGTTTTTATTGGTTTTAACCATTTGAAAATTTAACAGCAAAAAGGAAACAAAAACAACTAACAAGCGAAATGAATAGAAACATCCGAATCAATGAATTCATCATTTTCTTGATCATCAATTTCTCGATGTCCTTGAAATCCCGTCGATGCGAGCGGCTCCAAGAGGTCCTTGATTTCCGTCTCTGATCTCTAACACCAACTTCTTTGGCTCCAACCGCTTCGATGCACTTGCTCGTCGAAGCATCCAGCCAAACCGCCGTCTCATCGCAAGCAACAATGTGTGAAGTGTGAAGATTCAAAGATCAAGATTCAAAGTGTGACGGACGGACACTTCTCTTATCTAGTAGATTTACTATCTAACAATTTTTCTAAATCGATTTACCAATTTAGCATTTAGCAGCTTTGCTAAATTCTAATTGCTAAATATCAAAAGAATTTTGTTAAATTCCGCAAAATTGAGTTCTGTTTCGTGTAGACTGAATATTCTGATGCCGCCAGATAAAGCTAATATAGTTTATGTGCCCAAAATTGGCCAAATTTTGACTTGTTTTATAGCCAGAGTAAGCGTTTGGATCATCTGCGGTTCGTTTTTTTTTTTATATCTTTGCTCAAAGCAGAGCTATAGGTGTTTTTCGGAGCGGGTGGCATTGCTAAACGCTCGGAAATGTAGCAAAAAATGCCAAATTTTAATAAATGCATTGGCCGTTGAGTTTTGCAAAACGGATTTTAAGTTATTTGAGTTACTTGAGTACAGATTTGCAGCTAAATTCTTTGCTTTTTGTTTTTTCAGGTATTTCCAGGTATTAATTTTGTTTTGTTAGATTCTATTGTATATTTTATCAAAAGAAAGATGAGTACCTGAGTCCAGAAGCCTGGTCTAGGCCTGACTGGTCTAGGCCTGACTGGTCTAGGCCTGACTGGTCTAGGCCTGACTGGTCTAGGCCTGACTGGTCTAGGCCTGACTGGTCTAGGCCTGACTGGTCTAGGCCTGACTGGTCTAGGCCTGACTGGTCTAGGCCTGACTGGTCTAGGCCTGACTGGTCTAGGCCTGACTGGTCTAGGCCTGACTGGTCTAGGCCTGACTGGTCTAGGCCTGACTGGTCTAGGCCTGACTGGTCTAGGCCTGACTGGTCTAGGCCTGACTGGTCTAGGCCTGACTGGTCTAGGCCTGACTGGTCTAGGCCTGACTGGTCTAGGCCTGACTGGTCTAGGCCTGACTGGTCTAGGCCTGACTGGTCTAGGCCTGACTGGTCTAGGCCTGACTGGTCTAGGCCTGACTGGTCTAGGCCTGACTGGTCTAGGCCTGACTGGTCTAGGCCTGACTGGTCTAGGCCTGACTGGTCTAGGCCTGACTGGTCTAGGCCTGACTGGTCTAGGCCCGACTGGTCTAGGCCTGACTGGTCAGGCCTGACTGGTCTAGGCCTGACTGGTCTAGGCCTGACTGGTCTAGGCCTGACTGGTCTAGGCCTGACTGGTCTAGGCCTGACTGGCCTGGGCTGACTGGCCTGGAGCTGACTGGCCTGGAGCTGACTGGCCTGGAGCTGACTGGCCTGGAGCTGACTGGCCTGGAGCTGACTGGCCTGGAGCTGACTGGCCTGGAGCTGACTGGCCTGGGCTGACTGGCCTGGAGCTGATGGCCTGGAGCATGGCCGGCTGCCTGGCCTGAGCTGACTGGCCTGGAGCTGACTGGCCTGGAGCTGACTGGCCTGGAGCTGACTGGCCTGGAGCTGACTGGCCTGGAGCTGACTGGCCTGGACCTGACTGGCCTGGAGCTGACTGACTTGACCTGACTGACTTGACCTGACTGACTTGACTGACTTGACCCTGAGCTTTCCTGATATGGTCTGGTTTATAAGCTGTCCGATTAGGAATATCGTACATCGGCTATATCTTAACTTAACCCACGCCTTCCCTAGACAGGCCTACTCTTAATGGACGATCCCTACATAGCTTGTTCTGGCGGTGAAGAGAAGGCGACGGCGAAGGCTACCCGCTTTACAGAACTAGCGCCATTACTAGTCTACCCATTTAACCCAAAGCCGAAGCCAGGGCGGAGCCTATAGCACTCAAATCAAGGAAGAAACCTTTAGCTCATCTCATGGATTCGAACCAGAGAACCCTGATTATCGTACATTGACTGATCGGTGCCTGAATCGAAAACCAATCTTATTCATATAGTCACACAATAGATGTTTTTCTGTAATCTGTAAGAGTTTTTCTGTAATCCCAGGCTTTTCCACCACACGTAGAAGTATAAAAAGTACAGTAAAACGATCGAAAATTGCTTTAAATCCCTAAATCTCGATCGATCTCGATAAATATCAACAAATCGATTCAAAATGGGTAAAGTTGAGGCAATTATTTTCACGAATTTTGCCGATTCTCATTGAAATCAGCGAAATATTGCCTGATTAAGAGAAATTAACGCAAATCTGCTTAACAATAATTTCCCTTTGGATATAAATACGAGTCGATCAGCTCACTTTTCTCATATTCATCAATTTTTCAACCTTTCTCTCCTTTAAATATTCATTTTTCTATTGTTATTTTGCTTCAAAAACTACCTTTCTAATCAATTTGTTCAAATTTTAAGCTATTTTTCTTTAAATCAAGTTAATTTTCTACAAAATCAAGTTAATTTTCTTTAAAATCAAGTAAACTTTCTTTAAAATCAAGTTAATTTCATTAAAATTAAGTTAATTTCATTAAAATTAAGTAAACTTTCTTTAAAATCAAGTTAATTTTCTATAAAATCTAGTTAATTTCTTTAAAATCAAGTTAATTTTCTTTAAAATCAAGTTAATTTCATTAAAATCAAGTTAATTTTCTTTAAAATCAAGTTAATTTCATTAAAATCAAGTTAATTTTCTTTAAAATCAAGTTAATTTTCTTTAAAATCAAGTTAATTTCATTAAAATCAAGTTAATTTTCTTTAAAATCAAGTTAATTTTCTTTAAAATCAAGTTAATTTTCTTTAAAATCAAGTTAATTTTCTTTAAATCAAGTTAATTTCTTTAAAATCAAGCAAATTTCTTTAAAATCAAGTTAATTTTCTATAAAATCTAGTTAATTTCTTTAAAATCAAGTAAACTTTCCTTAAAATCAAGTAAACTTTCTTTAAAATCAAGTAAACTTACTTTAAAATTAAGTTAATTTCCCTTAAAATCAGTTAATTTTCCTTAAAATCAAGTAAATTCTAACATTTTCTTTTCAAGAAACTTTTTAAACAGCAATTTTTATCAATCAAAACGCCTACATACACTTTACAAACGTTCCTTTCGATCTCTACGAATGAAAATCTTGCACAATTCATTCTTGTTCTAGAAATTCGACAAAAAATGATTCATCACCGAAAAGATCTTTCGAAAGTTTTGATAAAATTGTGCAATATTCTCTTAGAAACTTTTTTTAAAGGGTTTTTCTAGTGTTTTAATCCATTTTTCAATTTTTCAATTCAATCCAATCCAATCAATCCAATCAAATCCAATCAAATCCAATCAATCCAATCAATCCAATCAATCCAATCAATCCAATCCCAATCCAATCCCAATCCAATCCCAATCCAATCCCAATCCAATCCAATCCAATCCCCATCCCAATCAAGCTCCCCATTTGTCTCATTGTTTACTGGTTCAAAAATCCTGTCTATTTTCAGTAAAAGTTGCTTTTTTTTAATCACCAAAGCTTATTCGACTTTAAACTTATATAAATTTTCAGTTACTCAACTTCTTTTCACTCAAAATCTTCTCGAAAATGTCTGCTGAAGGTCCATCTGAAGTCAAGCGCGCTCGTGACGAAGATATTGTGTTTCGGGTACAAAAATTTTTCTAAAAAATTGTTTCTATACCATAAACCAGTAGATTTCCACTTAAAAAGACTATTATTAAACGAAAAATTTTTATTTTTTTAGCTCCTTACTAAGGAGGATAAGGAGTTCACGATGTCGAAGAAAGCTGCTCAACTTTGTGGAACAGTCAATCACTATGCTGAGGTTAGAAAATAAAATCTAGAAAGAAAAGAGAAAAGAAAACTAATTCTTTAAAGAAAAAGAAGCAAAGAATCGTTTAGTTTAATAAATTTCATTTTAGAATACCGGTTTGACTAATGATGAGGCGATCTCGACAATGGAACCGATGACTTTGCCAACTGTTTCAAACGAGAGTTTACACCATGTGAGTTGTCAAAAATATTGTAAAGTGGAAGATTCGAATCCAAGCCAAAAGACTTGATAAGTTCTAGCAAACAAACTTGATAAGCTCTTGATAAGATCTAGCAACTTGATAAGATCTAGCAACCTGATAAGATCTAGTAACTTGATAAGATCTAGCAACTTGATAAGATCTAGCAACTTGATAAGATCTAGCAAACAAACTTGATAAGCTCTTGATAAGATCTAGCAACTTGATAAGTTCTAGCAAACAAACTTGATAAGCTCTTGATAAGATCTAGCAACTTGATAAGTTCTAGTACACTATCCGCTGACGTCAACGAAGCCATTGACGGGTTTTTTTTATGGTAGCCTCATGAAAAGTCCGAAATTTAAAGGAATTTTCTATTCCAGATTGTAAAATCTTTCAAATAAAGTAAAGATAATGAAATTTTAAACTCTTAGATCGATTTTTAAGTCGAAATCAAATACTTGAAGTCATCTTTCACTTTTAGATCGTTCGTTGGTGCGAGCAGCATCGCAATTGTCCGGCTTGGGAGGAAGAGAAATGGTAAAATTTCTATAATAGTTATCACTAGATATTTAAAGTTTAATATGCTAATTTTAAAGGAATAACAAATTTCAGGTGGCAAAACGAGCGTGACGCTGAATTGACGAAATGGGAAAACGAATTTATGGCAGAGCTGACATCGGAGCAACTTTACAACGTCTTTTTGGTTGGTTTAAGGAAAATTCTGATAGATTTAATGTTTAAACTAGAGATAGACACACTATAAACTACAAAAATGATAAACTGTCACACTACAAATGCTTCTAACTTGCTTAAATCTATTGGATTGATATGATCTATAGCTTAAAAAATAGAGAGTCTCAAGAGCTTTCGAATGGACTAAAGTAGACTCAAAAATATCAATTCTAAAGAAAGTTACAGTCGTTTGTAGCCTGACTGACGCGCGAGTACGGTCCGTTTCTAGTCAGGACTAGTTACTCATGTCTAGTTTGAATTAGATAATAAAACTAATTAGCTATAAAACTAATTAGCTATAAAACAAATTTCTCCATTAGCTATCTATATTTTCCAGGCGGCCAATTTCATGGACATCAAATGCCTCCTCGACAAGTGCGCTCAAACCGTTGCCGACATGATCAAAGTTGGTAGTCATTGATAAATGGAATAGCTCTTGAGCATTTATAAATTGGATTTTTATCTTATTAAGGCTTTTATAAGGCTATTAAGGCTATTATTATAGTCCTGATTTTAGGGAAAATCGGTTGAAGAAATCCGTGAGATTTGGATGCTTGAGAATGACTTCACCCCCGAGGAAGAGGAGCAGATCAAGTGAGTTCTAGGCTTTGTGGCTTTTAAACAAAGGGATTTAAAAAGCTATGATCTAGAGACTGTAGTAACCAAAAAAACAAACTAATTAATAGTTTTTAAGTTACAGAAATTTTGGTCTAAGTTGGCAAGGGAAAGAGTTGGCAAAAATTAGCGATTGACAGATTGGCAGATGGTTGACAGAGCGGTTTTGACTCTAGAAAACTTTTAGTTCTACAAGGCTCTTGCTATTTTTAGTAGTTTAGTAGTTTAGTAGTTTAGTAGTTTAGTAGTTTAGTAGCTTTTAAGCACAGCTCACGAATTGTTTTCTAAAGCTTTCGATAGTTAGCAATCGTTTACAGTAAAAACACAGCTGCTGACGGAAAAAACTTTTAGTTTTGCTAAGATAAAGAGAAATATTAACTATAATATTGTAATAATATTGTAATTTGATGCATTTTAAGGAACGAGAACCCATGGGAAGCCATTCTTCGCTATCAGGAGCAGCTCGAGAAAGACAAAGAAGAGCAAGCCAACTCCTCGTCGACTCAAGCTTAAACATCTTCAGTTTCAAATCATTCTTTTGTAATCTACTTCGTCCTATTGTACTACTGTAAATAAAGATATATACCGTATTTCCTCTAATAATAGTGCACCTTGAGCCTTGCCTAAATTCCTCGAAATCTCGAGAAACGCTTATCAGAAACTATCAACGTGGAGTTGGAAATGTAGCTGACGATGAGATCTAGTGGGGATTTGAGTGTTGAGTTTCCTTGAAAACTTTGAAAGCCGTAAAATAGTCACCAACTCGGCTCGATAAATGTAAATGTGTTCTCCCCTGTGCTTATCCCTTTCCTCGAGAAGGGGCGGTTCTTGGGATTGCCTAGGAGGACAAGTGAGGCTCTCACTTGGGTCCCCCTTTCACTCATTTGTAATCTATTCGTCTTATTGTACTACTGTAAATAAAGATACATATCTTCCGGGTCTATGCAACTGTTCTACTTACGGACCTGCAGTTCAGGTCGATCATTTCACAGGGACTCCCCTCTAATACGTTGAAGGAGTTGAGTTGGGTTGTTGGGGTGTTAGAGATGGCATCCACTCTCTTTAACTTAAACCCGAACTCTAGTCCATATCCGTTTACACCTAGGAAAGAATGCAAGTCTAGAAATAAGTGCTTTTTTGAGATTTTTTAAAGATTTTGAGTTGAATTCACGCTTGATAAGTTGACAAATAATTACAAAAAAGAAATAAAACAAACAATTAACAGAATTCTTAATTATTCTAAAACTTTTTTGAACATCTTTTCTTTTGGATCTTTTAGATCTTTAGATCTTTTAGATCTTTAGATCTTTCAGATCTTTAGATCTTTCAGATCTTTAGATCTTTTAGATCTTTAGATTTTTCAGATCTTTAGATCTAAAATCTTTAGATCAAAGTGTAAGACTTGCTTTTCTAAACAATGACCAAACATTTCCTTTTCTCTGAATCTCTCATTTTCCCTACATCTATTTAAACATGGAACATTCCTCGCATAAGCATTCACGATCTAGACAGAAAAGTTTGCATAAATTTGATCAAAAGATTGATTTAACTTTTGCTAATTGTAATCGAAACTTTCCCTGTTCCTTATCTTTCTTTGTCAATCTTTCCTTTGTCTTTTCCTGTACTCCTGTACTTCCTTTGTCTTTTTTGATACTTAAGAATATTTAAGAATTTATTTAAGAATTCCCTTGTCCTTATCTAATCTTAAAATTCAGCAGCCAATACTTAAACATTCACGAAAAACTTTAGAAAATGACTGAAAAGCTTGAAGGAGATCTCGCGCTTGTCGTCAACGTTGAGCCACTCGAGTTAGCGATTATTCAATCAAGTGCAGAGACGTCAAAATGGTTGCTGGCTGATGAAAAGGTATTAAAATAAAAGGCTAATCCTAAGGCAGGACTGTTTAAACCCAAAATTCTTAGACTAGGTCAGAATCAAGCTTCTAACATGACAAAAATAGCTTGGTCAGTGCTAGTAATCAGGAATGGTTAACTTGGTAAGCTAGTAATCAGCTAAGCTAAGCCAGTAATCAGCTCTGCTTTGAATTCTGGTCTGGATATTTGGCTTGGACTAGTTTTACTACTAGACGTAACTCACAAAAGTATCTAGTCAAAAGCCAGACCTGGCTTCCAGACCGGATCTGGGTTGTAGATCAAAATCAGTTTGAAACACCTTAGTTAGTACAAAAATGAAGAGCATTGCCTAATCTTGAACTCGATCTCAATCCAGGGCTGGGTACCCGTTCACTGTATCGGTCAAAAGATCGTCGAATACCCGAGATCTAAAGAAATTCAAGCTTTAATGCACATTTTAGTACCAATAATCAGTTTATTCGATTCAGAATAAAATTCTGCGCGAAAAGAGCGATCAAATAAACCCCAATCGATTCTCTAAGAGTTCATAAAGGGTATCGAAATTGGATTGCATTGGATAAAATACAGATTGGATAAAACTAGAGGCAAGATTAAGGTATCTTTTGAAAATTGACATGTTTTGGAAAAGGATTATTTGAAGTTTAAAGCTTCAACTTATAGCTTCAACTTATAGCTTCAACTTATAGCTCAAGCCTCAAGCCAAAGAAATCAAGGAGTCGCAAGCCGAAGAACCGCCTCGAACAAGTCCAATACAACCAAATTTGGTAGGAAAATTTGTAATAAAATTAAACTAAATCAACTTAAGATCAATTTAAGATCAACTTTAAACTCTGAGAAGTAATTCTGCGACTTCAAAAGATTAACTTTACATTTTAGTTGATTCCGGAAGAAGGCTTCAAGTTTTCATCAAAATTTCAGCCGTGGAAGTTGCATCAAGAAAGGAGCTATGGGGTAAGAGAAATTCTTGAACTATTGGACTTGGAAATTCTTGCTCAAACGCACCCTTTCTCGAGCAATTAATTTTTATAACACTATTAGACTCATCTTAATATCTAAATTGTCTTCAATGTATTTATTTACTGCCAATTCTAGCCCGCATCCACCAACGACAAGAAAGAAGGATACATGCTTGCCGTTTATTTGGGTGTTTACGATGACGCACACTTTTTCTATAACGAGCAACGAGTTTACGCAATCATCCCACTTGAGTCGTTCAACTATGAAACGTATCGTGTTTCAATGAAAGACTTAATCCCTGGAAGAAAGTGTATGGTGGAAACACAGTGAGTTTTAAGCTTTTGGCTTACGGCTAGCTAGGTTGATGCAAAAGAAATTTCGCTCGGTATAAAATGTTTCATTTTTTAATCTCAAAATCTTATTTGATCTTCTTTTGTATATTTATTTGATTTCTACGCTTTTGTTCTAAGTCAAAGCCAGCTAGCTAGCAGTCAGAGTCAGCCAGAGATAGCTAGCTAGGAGTCAGAGTCAGCCAGAGATAGCTAGCTAGCAGCCAGAGTCAGCCAGAGATAGCTAGCTAGCAGTCAGAGTCAGCCAGAGATAGCTAGCAGTCAGAGCCAGTCAGAGCTAGCTAGCTAACAGTCAGAGCCAGTCAGAGCTAGCTAGCTAGCAGTCAGAGTCAGTCAGAGCTAGCTAGCTAGCAGTCAGAGTCAGTCAGAGCTGGCTAGTTAACAGTCAGAGTCAGTCAGAGCTAGCTAGCTAGCAGTCAGAGTCAGTCAGAGCTAGCTAGCTAGCAGTCAGAGCCAGTCAGTCAGAGCTGGCTAGTAATACATAAGTTACTAACTATTCCAGCTAACTAAACAAACAAATATAGCACTAATAAGCAAATAAAGATTTCTTTGAGAATTCACAAACGCCAGAACTCGCCCAACAAGAACAGTTTCGTCGAGCGGAAAGTTGTGTCGCCGATTCGCCTTCTAGACGACTATTACAAGGCTGTGGTCATGAAATCGAAGCAAGGAGAGAACTTCATTTTAGTGAGTTAAGCAAACAATCTTTATCAGACTCTAGCTTTTACAGTTTCTCAATGACCAAAAAGCAATCTCTGTACATTTGTAAACTAACTTAACAAATATAACTTTAATAAACCGAGATCAAAGAGAATCCAAGCAAGTCCTAAGCCAAGCCAGGTTCAGACTCGCTTTTAGCTGTCCTTGGTCTATCCCTGGCATTCACACTTTATCTGGATTATCGTTAATCTTTATATTTTCAGATGGAAGTGAAACTCGGGCCGTATGTGAACGTGAACACAATAAAAAACAAAGCAATCGCTATTCACGAGGAAGTGATCGAAGGAAAGAATCTTTATTCAAAAAAAATCCATCAAAAAGTTCACGATTGGCACGATTTTCATACAAAGAAGAAGCTGGATCGTGGGGTTTTATGGAGCTTTAAAAACAAACTAGTGTTTTAGATGAAGAGGACTTTATAGCATACATCTATTTGGAGAGAAATCCAGCGAATTCCTTGGTTCCTTTATGGATGATCGCGCATATTTGCGGTGGAACAAAGGTAATTTTCAAAAAGCTTAGATAATCAACTATTCTATAGATCAGTAAACGTTAAAATACTTAAATAATCTATAAATAAATCTAAATCTATAAAAAATCTTTTAGAAAAAGAAGAAAGTCGTGAAAACAGAGGTCCAGGAATCGCTTTCCATTGGGGACAAGTTTTTAGAGCAAAATGGTTAGTTTATAAAGCTCTAGATGAATCTGAATCTCTAGATTAGATCTATATTTAGATCTAGATCAAAAATAGATTTGATCTAAAGAAATTGACTTTAATTTATTTCTTATTTTCTAGGTCCAAGCTCGTCTTGTGCTTTCCAAGATTCATCACCGACTGTAGAAGCCAAACGGTTCAATCTAAAGTTAGAAAAGTTTTAGTTATACTAAAATTGGGTAGTAGTACTACTGAAATCTAAATATCTAGCTTAAAATCTAGCGTAATATCTGGCTTAATATCTAGCTTAAAATCTAGCTTAATATCTAGTTTAATATCTAGCTTAATATCTAGTTTAATATCTAGCTTAATATCTAGTTTAATATCTAGCTTAATATCTAGTTTAAAATCTAGTTTAAAACCAAGTCTAAACCTAGCTTAAAACCTAGCTTAAAACCTAGCCTAAAATCTAGCTTAAAATCTAGTTTAAAACCAAGTCTAAACCTAGCTTAAAACCTAGCTTAAAACCTAGCTTAAAACCTAGCTTAATATCTAACTTAATATCTAGACTACTCTACTTTTGATATTCTTGAATTCCAGAGATGTTCAGCAACGCCAGGAATCCACTGGACAAGGTTTTGAGGGTAATCGACAACGAGAAATACCCGTTCAAGATTATCGGTTAGTTGAAAAGTTCATTAAAACAGAATACGGACACATACTAGCTATTGACCATATTGCAATATGGTCAATATCTAGTATGCACAATATCTAGCAATATATTGTACTTTCCAAGATTCATCACCGACTGTAAAAGCCAAACGGTTCAATCTAAAGTTAGAAAAGTTTTAGTTATACTAAAATTGGGTAGTAGTATTACTTAAATCTAAATATATAGCTTAATATCTAGGCATTCGATTATAAGATAAAAGCTGAAAAATTCGACCTTTGTATAGCAAGAAATTCTGAAAAAATAGCCGTTAAAGTGATCGAATCTCGCTTTTTCGTTGTAAACCTATTGATAATCAAACCGAAAATGAACAGCTCTACTTTATAGTACAAAGTCTTAGCCCTTTTCGACAATTGTAAATTTGAATTTGCGAATTATAGTAAGAGATTGTTTAAGTGCTTGTGGTGTGTCCACTGGTGATCACTGGAATGAAGTACATGGATATTTACGAAATTTGCCGAACCATCAAGACTATTGGGGTGATGAGGTGAGTATTGCGGCAGGATTACTGTAGATAAAGCTAGGCTAGTTCCTAAGTATTATGGCAGGATTACTGTAGATAAAGCTAAGCTAGTTCCTAAGTATTGCGGCAGGGTTACTGTACTTAAAGCTAAGCCAGGTCCTAAGTATTGCGGCAGGATTACGGTAGATAAAGCTAAGCCAGGTCCTAAGTATTATGGCAAGGTTACTGTTCATAAAGATAGGCAAGAGCCAAGTCCAAGAATTGATGCAAGTTTACGGTAGTTTTCAAACATCTTTAATGACATCTTTGACATCTTTAATGTACTGTATCTCATCCAATCCCGATTGGCTTTTAGGAACAAGACCGGGATCATTATATGTCAGCTCACGATCGCCACCTATCAAGATCAGACTCACCGTATCAAGATCAGTATCACGCAAGGTGAGACTAGTTTTTAGCAGTTCTGTTACTGAACTGGTTTACTAATTGGCTTGCTGGTTTACTAACCTTTTCCTTGTTTCAGAAGAGATTCTTTAAACCAACTCGGTTTTGCCTCACCACGACGATCACCGATTGAAGTTTATGAGCCACCGCCACAATATGAGGAATTAATGAGATCTCCGACTTCAATGAATCGAGGACAGAGGAATCAATTTGTAAGTCTTGAGTTGTAAGAGGAAAAAGGATAAACTAAGAATAGTTTTATAAAGATTTTGATGCCTTTCTTACTTCTAGGCTTTCCCCGATCAATCACGAATCGAAAGCGCGTATTGTTCCTCAACTCATTCATCATCGCAAATCGCTTCTTCAGCACCAACGTGAGTAGAAAACATATAATTCAACCAACACTAACAGCTCTTAAAACAAATTTTCAAAGAAACTCGTATTTGAAATCTAGAAGATTTTTAGGACTACTTTTTAAAATCTAAAAGATTTTTAGGCTTTCTGCTTTCTGCCCGCATGAGATTGGTTCAAAGGAATGGATGGTAAGCAATGTTATTTTCAATAAGATACAGTACTGGACAATGAAATATATTTAAAACGGGGTTTTAAATGGCTTATGTATGGATTTTTTGAGAGCGTATGTTGATAGTGTATATTGACTACCCGATTTATGATTAAAAAGACTATATTGATGAATTTGAGTCTTATTCATGACTTACAACATTTTCGGGGCCGATTCGGGCTTGATTCGAGACCGATTCAGGGTCGATTCGGGATCGATTCGGGGTTGATGGCAAAGAGGCTTCGGATAAGAAAATATTTTCACTCGAAAACGTGTTCTATAAACGTTTTAAGCCAAGGGCTATCGTTTAAAACAGTTTTTAAGAAAAGATAAATTTTCGATTCATCTGGGGGACCTAAATTTTGGCCGACCGATTTTGGCCGACCGACCGACCGGCCGGCCGACCGAGAAATAGAAAGGGGAATTTTGAAGAGTTGAGAAATTCTATTAGAGTTTTTATGGTATTTATTATTATTATTGTTATTATTATTTAAACTCTATTGGAGTTTTAACGGTATTTATTACATTAATCTTTTGATTTTGCATTAAATTAAATAAAAACTCGGCTAATTGACTGTAAACTGCCACATTGATTACTTTGGTTTTGAAAAAATAGCTACCTTTTAGGAAAACAAAAGAAAAGCTAGCTAAAAACAATCGACAATCACTTTTTTGAGCACAAAATCATCAGATTCTAACGTAACGATGTACTTTATTTACTTTATGTACTTCTGTATTTTATCTTGGCTACAAAACGGCTCATTTCTTTTTGCTTATATTGGTTGTTCGGATATAAACGAGCATTCACACTTCTTAACTCGTGAGGAAGCCATTTCCCGTATCTGATCGCCTTTCCAATGGCGCCAAGATCCTCATCAATATTAGAATTTGAACATAGAAACTGTTGAGCAAGTTCACGCGTCGTTTGACATGGATCCGATTCGATTGCAGCCCTCAAAATATCGTTGTCTACCGCTTGAGGTCGATGAGAGTGTTCATCATCCTCGAGACTTCGGAAAGAGACGAAAGAACTCGAGACACCATTCCGAAAGCGTTGAAACCAGGCTCGGCATCAGCTTTCGAACAATACATCATTCCCAAATGCTTTGACCAAATCTCAATGGGATTCCGCTACTGTTTTGCCCAGTTTGAAGTCGTAAAGTAGGCTTATTGATAAGTAAAATAAACGCGAACTTGCCATATTTGAAGTCGGTCATCTAAAGCAAGAAAAAAAGATCTTAAAAATAAGAAATCATCCGTTTAAAAAGATTCCAAATATACACAAGATAACGTACTTTTAAATACAGAAAGACATGTTTTAAAAGCTTCCCTCAGATCTAAACAACAGTTTAGAAATTCATTCTAACTTCAACCAATTTTTAGTCAGCGCTTTGTAGAGATTGGACAATGAACCCAAAAGTGATGGCAGTGTTGATGCAAGAGAAAAGCCCGAGTTTCATGGAGTATTTTCAATTTTTACAAGCCAATCAAAAACGTTTTTGATACAGATCTTGATAAGTTCTGAAATTTTTAGAATTTGATTATTTTCAGAGCTTTTTTTTTCACAAATTCCCTTCTTTATTCATGATTTCGTTGTGATTCTTTCAAAAAACATTAAATTTTAATAATTTTTGATATTTTTACGTAACTTTTAGTTTTTTCATGGTCATTTTTGGTTCATAAAGTCATTTTTTCAAAATTTATGCTCATTTAACGTTCCTGTTTTCTAAAAAGTGCAATTCTTTACTTTAATTGTTGATTTTAAAACCGAAAATTTGTGATTTCAATAAAGATTTTATAAAAAGTCATCAAATTTGTGAAATTGCATGATTGATATAAGCAAATTATTTTCCAAATCAGTTTCGATATAGTTAACTACATTAGCTTTTTGTTATGACTTAGAAAGCTACCGTACTCTACTGTTTAAACGATAAATTGTAATGCTACCGTACTTAGCTGATTTTGAAAGGAGCATCTTGAAAGCTACACGAGAAAGGTTATCAAATTTAATACGGCTATCAAATTCGATACGCCCCGCCTATTTGCCATTGGCAATCTAACTTTGAGCTCAAATATCTTCATGTTGAAGTGTCCGATCTAAGTCTTCTTGGTATCATTGGATGCGCCAAGTCTTTCTCTATTGATTGGTACAAAAACTATTGAACTTGGACAGCCCAACACCAAGAAATTTGAGTTCAAAGTTGGATTGCCAATGGCAAAGGGGCGGGGCGATTGTGGGGCCTTTTATACGCGCCCTTCCCCATCGGCAACTTTGAGCTCAAATTTCTTGGTGTTGGGCTGTTCCATTTAAATAGTTTTTGTACCAATCGATAGAGAAAGACTTGGCGTATCTAATGATACCAAGGAAATTGAAATTGAACAGCTCAACACCAAGATATTTGAGCTCAAAATTAGATTGCTAATGGGAAAGGGGCGGAGCTTATAAGATATCCCACAATCAGTAGAAAATGTGGTCCTATAGCGCAGGACTTTTTTCCATTTAGCGCTGCTCCTATAATGCTTCATAATGTTAGCAAGAACAGGCTAATGTTTACTCCAAAGTTTCGGACAGTTAGGGACAAATTTATCCAAAGTTCTCCTGGGCCAAGAATCTTGTCTGGCTTCTTACCTGATCTAAGCCTAAGCCTTGCCGCAAAACTTAGATTTGACACTTTCAGAAATATTCGAATGGAGAGAGAAACGAGGAATCAACGAAAGGATAGGTTTTTCTCTTTTGAGATCGATAGATCGATCTTTAGCCCAAATGCCGTTCTTCAAAATCGTAAAAAAAAAACAAAAATTTATTTGTAGAACACAAAAAAACAAGGCTGATATATTGAAAAGTGGCCCGTATATTCGATCACGAGTAAGTGAAATGAGAAGAGAAAAAAGGGAGAAGAGATTATGACAATCGAAAGCGAAAATAGGGTAAAACTAGGTACAAAATCGTATAAAGACACAGATTTCAAAGAAATTTTTTGAAATTAGTCCTGAGTGGTAGACTTGTTAGTTTTGAAGTAGGGGATATAAGAAGGGGAACCATTGAAGCCTAAAATTTCGGGACTTATTTGGTGGAACGGGGAAAATCAACAAAAGAATTGGGTTTTCACATAATAAAGGTTTATTTTAAGAAAAGCTAGTGTGAAATTTAAAGGTCGATATTTTGTGGGGAAGATTTTCAAAGCGACTAGCCGTAGATGAGACGGGTAACCTACTCTTAAACTTGTTCAATCTTTGATAGAAGTTAGTGCAATCGATAATACGGTAATCGATGATAGAAGTTATTTAAGAGTCGTAAGGACTAAATTCTAGAACAAGAACAGCTTACGGTAACTAAATTAGTTACCGTAGGCTGGCAAAGATTACCGTAACCCATCTACGTAATCGTAAGGAGACTAAGGTCGAAGTTAAACAAGTGATTACGGTAATGTCTCGTAAAAAAACCTACAGTAATGAAAAGATTACGGTAGCGAGGCATGTTTTAAAGTTGGACCTGTGCTGGTATCCGCAAGTTTGAGGGGAATAAAATGAATGTCGTTGAGTAGTTAGACTTGTCGTTAAAGCTGTACCAGACTCAGCCACTATTCGAGCTTCCCCCTTTCCCTGTCAAAACGACCGCCAAAATAATGGCCACAGCGATGAGAATGATAATCAAAAGAATCAAAGCCGTAATGCACAACCATTTCTTTCGTAGCGCCGATTTCTTGTACTCAACCGCGGTTTTCGTATTGACGGCAGCTTGTTGAACCTCATAGCGAGCATTCTCGATATTTTTATCGATACGTTCAACCATTTCACCCTGAAAAAGGTTTAGATAAGAATAAGTAAGCTTTTAAAAGTAATCTTCTATCATCTATGTTCAAAACCGAGAAATTTTCATGTTTTACTGGCTTATGTACATGTTTCAGAGCCACTTTTTGAACTAGTTAAGGGTAAAGATAAATCTAGGCCTAGTTTGGTCTGGTTTTAGAGCTGGCCAGACTTTAGAGCTGGCCAGACTTTAGAGCTGGCCAGACTTTAGAGCTGACCTGGATCCAGAGCTGGCCTGTTCTTAGCTGCCCTGATCTCAAAGCTGGCCAGACTTTAGAGCCGATCTGGATTCAGAGCTGGCCTGATCTCAAAGCTGGCCAGACTTGAGAGCTGATCTGGATTCAGAGCTGGCCTGTTCTTAGAGCTGCTCTGTTCTCAGAGCTGGCCTGTTCTCACTCGGAAAATAGATTTTGAAAAAGTAAAAAGTTTGGAAGAGCAGGATTCGAACTTGGGACAAAAACGTCATAGGTGTGCGAGTCCATCAGACTATCCACTAGACTACCGACGTAATAGTTTGGCCTCCTTGTGGTGCCCTCATAAAGAGTCCAAAATTTAGGGGGATTTTCTCCCAGATATCTCGCGATTGCGAAGTGTTCTGCAAAAAGTAAAAATAGTCCCCATGGCCGATTCTATGAGATAGACTTCTTGATTCAAAAGGTCAGCTTGACTCGGTGCCTTGCCCTTGTCAGAGCTGGCTTGTTCTCAAAGTTGACCTAGTTTCAGAGCTGGCTTTGTTCCAGAGCTGGCCTAGCTTCAGCTCTAGCCAGCACAAACTGGCCTGGCTTTTGACCAGGGTGTTTTGATTGGACACTACTAGAGTCATAGTTCGGTTTGCAAAAATGAACTTTCCCAACCTGTGCATGTACAAGCATATACATATCCTCAAACATCTCCTGCAAAGTCCTCAAGCTCTCCTCCAGTTCAAGGATCTCTCCATGTCTTTGTTTCGCGTCTTCCAACGCCATTCGACCAGCGATTGTCAATGGATTGACTTCTCGGAAAAAAATCTGAAATTTTAGACTTTTTAAGAACAAAATCGATTAAAGCTCAAGAGAAAATAGCAAGAAAAGCAAAAAAAGCTTTTCGAACTCACCGCAGCTTCATGAATCCCTAGTTTTACAATCTACAAATGCTCTAGAGTTTTTATAGAAACTAGTGTCTAATTGTAAGCACTAATAAATCGAATTTTATTTTAAAGTTCTTAATCTTACTTGTTGTTGAGAGTTCAACATTGCGTCCACCTCCTCATCGGGCAAATTTTCACCGGCTAGCTCGAGACTGCGCTTCACTCGTCCTGAAGTTAGATTGGTTTTTTAAAAACCATGTAACAGTACAATAATCCAATTTATTGATTTACATTACAGTATTTATTCCAATTCCAATGTATAAATACAGATTTGAGATTAGTTTAGTGATACTTCAGAGAGTTTCGGTGCTTTTTTTTACTTCGTAATGTTAGCAAGAACAGGCTAATGTTTACTCCAAAGTTTCGGACAGTTAGGGACAAATTTATCCAAAGTTCTCCTGGGCCAAGAATCTTGTCTGGCTTCTTACCTGATCTAAGCCTAAGCCTTGCCGCAAAACTTAGATTTGACACTTTCAGAAATATTCGAATGGAGAGAGAAACGAGGAATCAACGAAAGGATAGGTTTTTCTCTTTTGAGATCGATGGATCGATCTTTAGCCCAAATGCCGTTCTTCAAAATCAAAAACTTTGCTTATTAAAGCTATATTTGTTTATTTAGTTAGTAACTTATGTATTACTATTAGGTTGTTCGGATATAAGCGAGGGTTTGCACTGCTTAACTCGTGAGGAAGCCATTTCCCGCATCTGATCGCCTTTCCAATGGCGTGGTGATGCTCATCAATGGTAGAATTTGAACATAGAAACTGCTGAGCAAGTTCACGCGTCGTTTGACATGGAACCAACGAAAGGATAGGTTTTTCTCTTTTGAGATCGATGGATCGATCTTTAGCCCAAATGCCGTTCTTCAAAATCGTAAAAAAACAAAAATTTCTTTTTTCTACTTTTTCCTAGTTCTAGCCCTAAATTCGTCAACTATCTATGAGTTTTTTTCTTTCTATTATAGTAAGTCTGTTTTTTTATCCTTATCTAGAATCTAGCTATCCTGACTCTTTATCTACTAACAAGGGAAGGTCAACTGGCTGAGCTGGCCAAGTGACATGCAACCTGTACCATTCAACGCAGAATTTCGCGCTTATTCCGAATCTGATTTCCGTTTTTGCTGAACGTTATCCTGGCAGGAGTTAGAAAATGATGGAAGATAAGAGATGTTCCATGTAAGATATTCTAAAAAGCATTCCAAGACTTGACTAAGAACGAGTATCACCACGATTGGATTATGTTTGTTGCGACATTATTCTTCCTCCTCTCTTTCACTCTTTTACTAACCCCCTCCTGGGCGATGAGCCAAAAAATTCGCGCTTACAAGAGCACACAAAGAACGAACAGCTGGAAGATGTTCATGCGAACGAATACAGGAAAATGAGTTGCAGAAACTATTCGAAATAATGTTGTTGCGCTTATTTGTTGCAAAGTTCTTGTACTTCTACAATTTTAAAGCCTTTAAAGACTTTGGAAAAGCTTTAGCCAGGGCTAAAATACTCAAAGAATCTCGCAAAAATCTCACTTGACACTCGATCCTTGTAGTTCAATTGTTGATCATTAAAAAGTCGGATCACGTCCTGCATCTTTTTACGCACCATGTCACATTGATTACGCCGCATTCGCACCTCTGCGCCGGACTTGGAAACTGAATGATTTGAAATTCGAATTGGCTTGTAACATCTCTGTGATGTAAACATCTCATTTCCAGAATTTCCAAAATTTCTCAAACCTTTCTCAAACTGTTTCAACTCCTCTTCCAGTGCTTGCACTTGTGGCTGCAGATTTCTCACCCGCTCACGTATCCGTCTGATTTGATCTTCTAATTCAATCTAGAACTTCAGCTGTTTTCTAAATCCCTTCCAAAATCACTTTATGTTCGACATTCACAACTGCAAGCGATAATACGTGATCTTGTTTCCTTTTCAACTCAAAGATGTCATCTTGAAGATCGTTGAGCATTGCTCGGATCTAAATGGGTTTTTTGATGATGATTTATAAACAACAAGGATGTTCAAAGCCAGGATCTGTAATCAGATAGGTCAAGCCAAAGCCTGGCCAATTGCTAGCTTTGGCCTGATCTCTGGTTTATCCAGGGAACCAGTATAATGGACCAAGCAAGAGCAGAAGCCAGAGCAGAACCTGACCTACCCGGCATGGCTAGTTCTGAGCTAGCCTGGCCAGTTCTGAGCTAGCCTGGCCAGTTCTGAGCTAGCCTGGCCAGTTCGGAGCTAGCTTGGCCAGTTCTGAGCTAGCCTGGCTAGTTCTGAGCTAGCCTGGCCAGTTCTGAGCTAGCCTGGGCCAGTCCTGAGCTAGCCTGGGCCCCGGCTAGCCTGGCCAGTATGACCTTACCTGGTCTAGCCTAGCCTAATCCTGATCTATCCTTAGTTTAGCGCTTGACCTAATCTAGCCTTGAACTAGTAAATTTGTGAAAAGACTCGTAACTCGTAAATTTGTTTAAAAACGCACATGCCCAACTCGATCCATGAACTGATTTGGTGATGGCGAGGATGTTGGGCCAAGTTCGACCTCTTCAAAGCGGTCAGTCACCTTGCCTTTCATCTAAACTATTGTTTGCAGAACCAGTTTAAAAGTGGGTCAACCAAAAATCTCGAAAATATTCACCTGTAATTCGGCTAGCCGATCGCGAACCATTTTGTCGACGATAAGCTGGGGCTATTCAGCGAAAAAAACTAGATTTACAATTTGTAACGATTTGTATAAAAATCCTGCAAAAAACCAGGTCAATTTAAAACAAAAAACTCAAAAAATCAAGCTCAATAATAAGAATATGACAATCAAAACAAGAGCAGAGAGGAAAAAATTTGTTTTGAATCGATCGTTATTCACAGCTGAGTAGTGAGGGAAAGGATGAAGAGGAAAGGTGAGAATGGAGAAAAGGTGAACATTCAAGGACAACAAACAAGAAGGGAGGGAAGGGAAATAGAAGAGGGGACTCAAGGTAAGAAAGGGGGGAAAGACCCACACTTCCATCATCATTTAGCATTCAATATACTACAATATTTAAATTGTCAATAACGATTTCATTAAGCAGTAAGTCAGTGAGCCAGTAAGGCATAAGGTTCTATCCTGGTGACGATGGGACAAGTGTCGGTTTAGCTCATTGGTAAAACAATCAACCGGTAAGTAAGAGGTCGCGGGTTGGAATCCCGGTGCTTGTTTTCCCAGCCTCAACCCATAAAAGAACCGGCATGCCCTGGCTAACTGGCTAGGCTCAGGCTCAGGCTCAGGCTTAGGCTTAGGCTTAGGCTTAGGCTTAGGCTTTAGGCTCAGGCGTAGGCTTAGGCTTAGGCTTCGCCTTAGGCTCTGGATCAACACATCCAGAAAAGCCCCAATCCATAAAAGAACCGGCATGCTCTGGCTAACTGGCTAGTCCCAGGCTCAGGCTTAGGCTTAGGCTTAGGCTTAGGCTCTGGATCAACACATCTACACAAAACTGGATCGACAATATAGATTTTCAATCTAGTTTTGTGCCAGGTCTGGTCAGATCAAATCAAGATATTGACCTGGCTTTGGCTTTGACTAGTAAAAATTGTTAAGATGTAAATAGGTCAAGTTTTCCATAATGGCTTCAACGGGACATTGGCCATGTGAGATTTATGGATAAACCAGAAGAGATAAGACCAGATCAAAGCCCTCATGCAACCTGGAAGCTATTTCATTTTGCTTTCAATCTCTATTTTGTTACTAAAGTTGCAATTATCAATACAACTAGGTCAAGCTAAGATCTCTCTCTGTCTTATCCTTCTTGTCTTGTCCTTCTTATCCTTTTTAGTCCCACTATCGACTATTATAAACTAACAATTCCTTTTATTTGTTTATTTTTTTCAATAATCCTGGCTCTTTCTTCTCCCTTCCACTTTCCTTCCCTTTCCTTCCCTTTCCTTCCCTTTCCTTCCTCTTCCCCTCTTCCCCTCTTCCCCTCTTCCCATCGCTTTGTTCATGCTGGGACTGGGTGCGCCTGCGCAGTTTCAACAAATAGGGAAATGAAATTGAAAATGGAAATTTGAGCCGATATCGCCAGGTAGAAGTGGGAGCTCTTCAGTTTTGGCTAGGAATAAAATTTGAATTGGGTAACAAACGGAAAGCTAAAAGATGGGTAACTAAACAAAAAATTAAATCTGCTATTCAATAAAGTTTGAACTCGATTTAACTGATGGCAATTCATAAATTTAGAAAAGCTTTATATTCTTAAAATAGAGAATAATGATATGAAAAGTAATCTTTTTAGATTTAAAGCAAAATTCTCGGTGATCACCGAGAATTTTCCGAGAATCCATTCAAAGTTGATATTTGAGTTGAATGAGATTTCTAAAATGATGACAAGAGTGATGTGATCAAATTTTTGGTGAAATCGGCTTCTTTTTGCTCTTTTTGAGTGCAGTCGAGATCAATGAGAGTTTGAAAAAAACGGTGAGTCACTTTTGAAAAGAAAGTAGCGTAAAAAGAGCAATGTAAAGAAAAGAAAGGGAAAGGGAAACTGAAATATTGAAAAGTAATATTGAAAAGTAAAGTTTTCAAGAAAATTTATACTTTTTTTGAAAGATTGAGATTGAATTGTATTTGATTTCATTAGGTTTTTGATTCTTTCGATCCTTTCAATTCTTTCAATTCAGAAGAGTGCTTTTATGGGCGTTAAGACAAAGGAAAAGCTTTAAAAAGATTAGAGGAAATGGTTTTTTTGAAAGATTGATTTGAAATGAATAAAAGATGGAAAAGAGTAAGCATTGTAAAGTTCTGTTCTTTTTTAATTCACTTTAACTTTGTGTTTTCTTTGATCGAATCCTCTATATTGGGCGAGCTTCTCAACAGTTTATCTAACTTAATAGATAAAGTAGACAATGCCCAAGCATGAATAACATCAGCAGAAGTAATACAAAAACGAAACATTAACATCATTTGGTAAAACACAACGACTATCAACCTCCAACAAACGAGGTTCACCTAATTCTAATTGATCAAGAGATTCCGTAAAGTGAAATTTTCACATTGAACAGTTCACCCAGTAAAGTATACCTTTTGGTGTACAAGCCAGCCTGCCAGCACACAGCCAGCCAGCCAGCACACAGCCAGCCAGCACACACTCAACAGTGTTCGGTAAAGTGAAATTTTCACATTGAACAGTTCACCCAGTAAAGTATACCTTTTGGTGTACAAGCCAGCCTGCCAGCACACAGCCAGCCTGCCAGCACACAGCCAGCCAGCACACACTCAACAGTGTTCGGTAAAGTGAAATTTTCACATTGAACAGTTCACCCGAAAGCATACCTTTTGGTGTACAAGCCAGCCAGCAACACAGCCAGCACATACCAACAGTGTTCGGTAAAGTGAAACTTTCACATTGAACAGTTCACCCCGTAAAGCATACCTTTTGGTGTACAAGCCAGCCTGCCAGCACACAGCCAGCCAGCACATACTCAACAGTGTTCGGTAAAGTGAAACTTTCACATTGAACAGTTCGCCCCGTAAAGCATACCTTTTGGTGTACAAGTGAGAGATAAAAGTCTGCATAAAAGTTCATTTACAATCAAAAGCAATGTCAAAAGCAAGCAAGAATTTGTCTTTAACTTGTAAATCGATAAAGAAAAAGGTTAGTTGTTGTAGAAAAACGTTTGATTCCTAGAAAATCGCCTGAAAAGGCTGTTGAAAGACAGCGAATGAATCAGCGAAAAAAATGAAATGAACAGGTGCTGATAATGAAATGAAAAAGTCGATTGTTTTGTAAAAATGATGATTTTGAAAGAAAAGAGCTAAAGAAGCTAAAGAAAAGAGCTAAAGAAGCTATTCACAGGTACTTTCAACGCTCCAGAATTCGGATTTATAGTAACAGAAAGCTACTTAAACGAACCGCCCAATAATAGGATCGTCCACAGTGTTTCTCCAAAGCCAATGGCTCGACAAAGCAACCGGCAGCCAGTTTAGATTATTAGTTTAGAAGCAGTTACGAAATCAGAGATTTTGAGAGGTTAAAAAACCCAAAAAACCCTAAGAAACTTCAGAAAAATCCCAAAGAAACGTTAGTTTATTAAATTTTTTCTATTTGAATGTAAAATAGAGAAAAAGGAAAAGGGAAGATAAAATAGAGAAAAGGAATGCAAAATAGGGAAAAGGGAAAGTTAGTACTCGTTCTTTTAAATGGAAATTGCTGAAAGATAAACACTGATTCCATAAAACAAATGTTTAAATGGCTATAGGCAAAGAAATAGGCAAAGAAATCAATCAAAAAATTTGGAAAACAATTGATTTATAGAGATCAATCGATTGTTTATTTGTGGTCAACGGGGTATTGTGTGGTTGCGTGGAAACGGGAACCCCATTCTCCTCTATCCACCACAAAAAGGACTTCTTTTGCCTTCTTTTCCCTAGCCTAGTCAAGCCAAACAAGGCCTTAAACGAAAAAATTTCATTGAAATTGAATATTGAATTTGATTACTGTACTCTATTTGATATTGTTTAGATTTTAAGACAGGTGAAACGATAAAAACTTGAAATTCTTATGATTCTTAAAGTTTCCAACATTTAAATTCTACAATTTGTACTTTGGCTTGATCTAAAAGTCAACTTGTTGATTAGATTTTATTTGAAAATTGTTAACTAATAGTTCTAAAAAAACATAAAACGAATTTCGGAAATTAAAAGCTAATTTTAGAAGATAAAATAGATCAAATTCATAGGTACTTTCAACGCTCCGGAATTCGGATTTATAGTGACAGAAATTTACTTAAACGAACCGCCCAATAATGGGATCGTTCACAGTGTTTCTCCAAAGCTAATGGCTCGACAAAGCAACCGGCAGCCAGCCAGCTAGCCAGCCAGCCAGCTAGCCAGCCAGCCAGCACACAGCCAGCCAGCCAGCACACAGCCAGCCAGCCAGCACACAGCCAGCCAGCCAGCACACAGCCAGCCAGCCAGCACACAGCCAGCCAGCCAGCACACAGCCAGCCAGCCAGCACACAGCCAGCCAGCCAGCACACAGCCAGCCAGCCAGCACACAGCCAGCCAGCCAGCACACAGCCAGCCAGCCAGCACACAGCCAGCCAGCCAGCACACAGCCAGCCAGCCAGCACACAGCCAGCCAGCCAGCACACAGCCAGCCAGCCAGCACACAGCCAGCCAGCCAGCACACAGCCAGCCAGCCAGCACACAGCCAGCATTCCATGTGGACCCTCTTCCATAGTATCCGATCGAAATCTTTCCCGCAGAGCACGGAGAACCCGATGAGACGAAAATAGAGCTTTTAAATGGTTTACTTTTAGAAGATAAAATAGATGAAACTAATAGTAAGTCTTCCGACTTGCAAATACTTATTAGAACTATTAACACTTGTTATGATCTTGTTAGAACCTTGTTAGAACCTTGTTAGAATCAAGTTGACTTGTTTAAATCATTACAAACTATTAGCAAATCGATAAACCAGAGCACGAGTTTTTAAACAGAAATAATTGACATATTTTGAAGTAATTTAAAAGCAAATATTTTTGAGTTCTCCATTTTGCCCTTTCTATGAGAGAAAAGGTTGAAAGAGGGAAAGGAAGAGATTGCGAAATTCCTCTTCCACACCCATAGCAGACAAATAAACACACATTACTAATAAAGCGCTATTGTGAAATTTGAAAAAGCTTTATAAATTGATA